ACATCATTAATTCCCCCATCCGTAGCATATGCACTGGGAGTTATACAACCAACTTATGGCAATAATCCCTTAACAATTTGAAATTATGTTGCATCGTCTAAAAATAAGGAAATTTTGAAGGTTTTTTACTTCTGAGTCTACAAATATATGGAATAGGGCGGTAACAACAATGTGGAAGACTTGACGTTCAGATGATTGATCAGACTCATGCAAAACTGACATGAAGACTGTAAGGCAATTACGTCCATCATCGATATTATTGGTGTCCGCCAATCATTTTAATTTGCACATCTTAATTGACTGGACTCTTCAAGCAATTTCCTCGAATTTAGAATGAAACCAATGATGAAGACGTTTGTGGAGTTTTGGTCAAGCAGTGGACGAACAGATTTGGGAAACCAATTGATTTCAACAAACTCACAATATGTAAACCCAATAGTATGTCTATCCTAAACTTGTCTGTAAAATGCTCCAACGCTTAATATGAAAAGCTTTAAATGAAAAGTAATGGCTGATTGTTTGTAAAGTTATGAGTACCATTGATATTGTAATACTTATTGTGTTACTAGTTGCATAACTGTATGAATTTGCAATAAAAAGGTAACAAGAGCTTAGACGATGGACTGTTCTTGCCTTCTTTCTTTATTTCACTTGAATAAAATTTGATATTTTAACTGAATGCCATTTTCATCTCTAGTGCGACGACAATTCACTAATGTCATAAACTACACTAGCTCATTAAATTCCCTGCAAAAGCAAATAATTCCTTAAAAGTATGTATCATAATCTTTAAAGAAAGAAATGAAATGAAAATATGGTAGTTAAGGTTACATTACGCAATCACTTTTTAAGCTTAATTTACTTAACAGTAAAGAGGGCCAAACATTTCGAGTTCCTACAGAAGTATGGTTATTTTATAATAACGTGTCTGCTTTTTTGTTTCACGTGGGAGGTTGAACTGGAGCAGCTGTCGCATGAACAGAGAATGGATTTGTACCAGGCAAATAACTTCGAGGGGGAAAATTTGCAAGGGAAGACTGAACAGATTGCCAGTCAATGCTTGCAACCACAGAAAAATGTACATATTCCATTGTCAGAGCCCAACGTTCCGCGGCGTCCGGTGAAAATAATCAATTTCAAGGTCTTGAATAAACACTACCAAACTGAGACCAAGAGCCAGATGACAAATTGTTGTCCCGATTCGTTTCTCACACAGGTGAGTGACAAAATGCACTACATACCTATACAAAGTAAGTAACATCAATAACTGGGCTACTTTGCCTGTAGCGATGTAAAGATGTTCGGTCTTCAAGAAGTGAAACAATTTGTTATGAAGCTTTCAAGACCACTTATGATTCGATGGAAGGCCAACCGATAGATCCTAAGATCCAGGCGAAAAAGAAAGTCTTATTGAATAAGAAAGGATTTCAAAATAATCCGGCAAATGCGGATAGAGAGAGGAGGAAAAGCAAACGTGAGATTGTGCGTTGCTAAAGTCATGATTTGAGAGAAATTCGTTCAAAGAAAAAACTCCTTTTTTTACTTTACAGATGATAGAATACTCGAAAACAGTTGCAGCTGCTAATCTAGTACGTGACAAAAAAGGGATATTGGAAGCACGCCAGAAGGTAAAATTGCTTGAAAAGAGCATCAAACTATTATGAATTGTAGAAACCATTCATTGGCTTTTCTATGCTCTTGCACAGAGAATTATTTTGCAGTGAAAGTGTACATCATGTCTACATGGAATCTGGCATGCGTTTTGTCGTTGACGTAAAAGTTTCTATTATTTTAGCGCTTTTTGACATAAGATTCACTAAATATATTTCATTTAAGAAGCTCTTCGAATAACCTTTTTTGTTGGTACTGAATCTAATATCAACTCCATAAGTTCATCAGTTCCAATGGGAAGTCTAGACGGAGGGGGTGATATTTTGCTAATAGCAAAATAGTTTTATGCGTCAGTCTTTTTTAACGAGACTTGGTTTGATACAATATTGGAGTTTACTTCCGCAAAGGATCTGCCATTACGTAACCACTGCTTTAATATCAAATTGTCTACCCACATACACATGTACAACTCCCTTCATTAGCCTCATTTGTAATGCAGTCTTTAAGGAATTTTGCCAACTTTTATAGTGCACAAGCAGCTGTAGATTATGGTTTTAAAAAAAATCAGTGTAGCAGAGATCTTCGCAAGGTTGTACTTTTAATTTATAGTTTGCCTTCCCCTTTTTTAACTAGTTGGCATAATAACACTGAACAACTCATTGCTTTGTTTTAAAAATGTGGATTTAAACAAATGTAGAGATCCATCGTGCATGACAAGAACGCTTTGAATGTTTGAATCTACTTTCGTTGCATGGTATTATTCTTTAAATAGAACAACCCTCATCTCAAAGAGCCAATGGAATATTTGTTGAAGTTTTCAATAACATTGTTTATTGGCATCTTTATCTTGAGGATGAGAAATAAACTATTTTTCACATGTTTATTAACTAACAGAAAATAGGCGGTATGCATCACGTCTGAGCACGGCTATCGATGCTTTTGTAGCACGATCTAATGCTGCATGTGACGGACGAATGCATTTACAGAATTCAAACTAAATACCAAGTGTTTAATCACAGTCCTGGCGTCAGTTCGGTAAACCTGTTTGACTAAATCAAGTGGAAAAGCCAATGCGCGAAGTTTATGAATACCACTTTTTAAGTTGACAAAAAAGTCCCTCAAATTGTATTATACGCATGTAGAAACTTTAAAAGTATGTGCATATGTGATTGAGTATAGGTATGTACAGTTGGATGTGTGTGTGTGTATGTTTGTTTGTTTCATAATCGCATATTGACTTAAGGCACCCGTTTTGCCCATGAGTGTAAAATTTGCTGATCGGCTAACATTTGCATCCCTGTGAGAATAGCCGCTTTGAATGGCCGATAGGACAATCAGTGCTGATATATGGACTCAACAATTAACAGTTCATCATATACCTTGTTGAATTATTTTTGGTACGTCCTTGCGTTTGACAAAAGGACCGATTTTCGGTTCCGCCATATGTTTATTTGATTACACACTTCCGTTATATTTGACATTTTTTAGTTTCCGTCGAAGCATATCAGCGCACTGGATGTGGAACTCGCCAGAATTCTACACACTCACGAAGCTGAAACACAAAGAATGGCTTCGCCTTTTATAACCTAACCTCCCATGATGCCGTTTCTTGTGTAAAATGATGACCAAAAAATTAGTCGTGTTTCGTACAATCCAGATCAGTCTTTTTAGGGGTAGTTTCGGAAGAATTCATGAGGTAGGGCGGTGCAGGAAGTGGATATGGAGCGGCGACTGCAGGCAGCAGCCGCAGCCCTGTCCATAGTCCATTCACCCGTCCATTCTTTTAGTCATTTCTACTCTCAGGCACTCCTTCTCAATGACTCACCTGTCGGCTGATACACCTATTGCTTGGGTATGACTTACACACGAGACGTTGCTTCCGAATTACTAGCGCGAAGACCGATTGAAGAGGAGAAGTTTGAAATATTGCGCGAAATTTGAAACACGTTTTCTGTTTTAATAATAAATGTTGGTAGGTGTCAGTGTTATTTTATGATTAATAGCATCTCATTCATGAGGGCTACGTGGCTTTGTCGAAGGAGTTACTACCAAAGTACTTATTATCATGAATGCGCTACGGATATTGAGTGAGAAAGAGAAAACGGCACACTTTTGGTTGATCAGTTTAATAAATGATAAATGAAATCCATAAATTTTTCGAATATCCCCAAATAGCCAAACGATCATTTTTTTCATATTAACAAAGGACGAAGTTATAGAAGTGAATCAGAGAAAAGTCTCCTTCGAGACAAATTGGCATGCCTAGAAACCGCATTGCCACATCATTATTTCACTGTAATTGTAAGTATATTTAAGCATTTTTTTCCCCAAAATGCGATTTAAATGTCTTCAGCTTAGTTAGAAGAGCTTTCATCAATAATTATTCACTCGTATAGTCTTCCGAATTCGTAAACGCACCATGGCAATGGAGTCTCGTAACATTTCTTTGACTGTTTTCGTAAGGACATTTCACTAACTTCCGGTATGAATGACTTTCTCCGATGATATCACTAAACTTAACTCTATTTCTCGAAAGCATATTCCGTTACCGTGTGAACAAAAACGGAAATAACCCAAATCGTGCATAAAGTTGACCACATAGTTGCTGTGAAACGATAGGATGTTAGGCAGTTTTTACTAAAGATAAGTGTAAATGAGTTAGGTGATATACTCAAAATGGTTTGTTAATAGCTATACTGGACACCGCCCATCGAGTGTTGAGTTTAAACGTTTCTCAAAAATATGCCTTAATTGTACTTAAAATGATAGATATACCTGGGGTTGATAATGCCCAAGATCTAGAAACTGCCTGTTCTGCACATCCAGTCCACTATTTAAGACAATTGTTTCACCTGTACCATAAGTTTATAAGACATTTTAAATGCCATGAGATTATTGTAATTGTGAAGAATGTCAATCATCGCTCCTCCGCTAGTTTAATACTGTTTATTTGGGGCTCGCAAAATACTTCTGTATCAGGTGACTAAAAAGTTCGTGAGGTTTCGGGCATAACTCCCTACAATGCCGTTGTGACTTGTAAAGACTTTTAAAATTCATGGAGTTGGCTATGCGTGTCAAACTTTCGGTAGTTACTATTGTGCTCTGTACAATTTCACTGTTACTTTGACCCAACGCAGCATAGAATCTCGGCTAACTTAATGTGGTTCGAAGTTGTCGGCCTTACAAAGTTAAGCGCGGTCTTAAAGCTGCAGGAATTTCTCATAAATTTGTGTAACATCTTGAAAAGAAGCGGTATGTGGGACCCGAAAGTATTGCTCAGAAACGGTTAAAAATTGTTATCCTGCCAATGACTCCCTTAATGATGCCGCAATTTGATCAGAAAGACCCTCTACTCTTGACAACGAAGAATCACGTATCTACATTGATACCATTTTAACATAAACCTGTTGTGAACTTATTGTGGTGGTTAAAGACGTTGTTGATGAAATAAATCATCCATTAATGCATCAAATGGTATTCTCGTCTGCACACGTCAGGGGCTAATGACATAAAACCTTAAGGAGTATCAACTTAAAGTAGAATCTCGCCATTTCTGGATTACTTGTTGATTGACTTGCGCTGAGGATTAGTTTTTGTATTTCAACGTTAAAAAAGGAAGGTTTCATACTTTGTCTCCCTAAACAAACCACTCCCCACCCAACCCACACTTCTAAGCCACCACTTTAGCCCTTTAATACCATACCTTTTGTGTGTGTAGTTACGGAGGACTATAGATGGAGTTGTTGACTTGAAGAAGACCAAAAAGATTTCGGCCAAGGTTGAAATGGAAGTGACCAGGGCTAGGTTTAATGTTTATAGAGATAAGACGCTTTATAAAAACGGACTTTACAACCATTTTGTCCCTTTGAGAATTGATGAAGGCTGTAACCGCGACTCCCTCAATAAATGTTATATTTCAAGAATCTTTCTGCAGCTGTTTAATTTGTTTTCAAACTCACATTCCTTCCCTATTCAACTCCCTACTAGCTCGATTTTAGGTCTTAGTTTACAGTTGCTACGACGACCACCAAAAATAACCACGCCCTCTACTATGAGTCAGGGAGGAAGCAACAGACTTAGCAACAAGAGCAAGGCCTATTTCTAATTCCCTATTTGGAGTAGCCAGTCAACGTCAACGCTGTGTGCTAATCGACCAATAGTTAGGCTCTAGAGGCCAAGGTGCACCAATCAGACAACGGCAACTCACCACCCAGAAGCGATTGGTTGCCACCTTCAATCGCGCACGGCGACGTGCTGTGCTGAGGTCTAATCCTTCTGTAACACAGTCTACACAGCAGTTTGGGATCGCCTGCCTTCAAACAAAGGAAGGGAGTAAAATATAAAGTGAGTAGATCTACCTTACTGATCTGTTTACAAAGAGCACGCTTCCTAAATACCGATTCTTAATGCTGTTTTCTAGCACATGCTATGTGCTAATTACACAAGCCAGATGTATACCGTTGATATCTGGCTCTTTTGGAGTTTAAATCTATCCACCGTTGCAAACATCAAAGTCCTGCGAAAGTGTCAATGTCAGTTCAAATACGGTGCCCTAAGGTTCAAATTCCTACCTAGTGAAATGATTATTCATATGGTTTAGAAGGGAGAAAACTGGGTCAATTTTTTTTCGAAAAACATTAATTACATATGAGGTCACTACCTGCATGCTTAACATGAGTCAGACTGCAACCAATTAATGTGTGGAGTCGTGATTTGTTATAACCACTCATTAACTTCACCCAATTTCTTATGCAAAACTCAAATTAACATCTTTAAAAACAACCAGCAAAATCGCATCTTGCTAGCTTAGCTTTATGCTGTTCTTAATTCAGTAAGTGTTTTCATTTTTAAGGGTTTAGTTCATGCATAAAATTTCCGATATTTAATAAAGTACAATTGTAGAATTACTCCTAATTATAAGTTGACTCGATATGAATGCTATTGTAATATGATTCTTCACCACATATTTAATGAAATGTCTTATTCACAAAATTTTTATGCATTCATCAGTGTTACTTCGAATTTTTTAATGAGTAACTTACAATAAAGTATTAACCGATACGAAAAATTGGAAGCTCTCCATTTGACTCTTTGTCAAAGTGAAGTTTCACCCTATATTATTAAACCAAAACATTTTCGTGTCACTTCGATAATTAAAAAAAGTAGTATTCAATTCAATTCATGGTATGAATAAGGCCGTGTGAAAATCTCGAATTCATCACTATTTCGTCAGACCATAATATTAACCGGGAAGCCATTCACAAGCTTTATTATTGTAAGAGAAGTCATGCAGAAGTACCACCTCTTCACCCACTGCCTTCCTTGTAAATCAGAATCAATTGCTTTTAAAACAGTTATTAATCAGCTTTGCATTAGTTTCAGCGGACATTTTTGTTTAAGGAAATGCTGTGACAGGATATTTTCATGTGAAGGATGATGAAATAAAGCATTATATTTGTTTACGAAGCCAATTATTTTCATGAACTTATGTTTCGACAGAAGGGCTTCACTTTTGATATAGTGACCTCCAATGAAAGCAATTTTAGCCGGCGAGACATGGGGCCTAGCATATTTTTCACGCTATCAAAAAGCTGTCATTTCAGTATTCGTTCTCCGGTTATTTTGCACATTACTCAGTTCGAAGACCAAAACTACTTTTCTCTCTGTGGAAACCGCTGTTCTCCCAGAAACGGTGGCAGGAAGTGCCGTGACCTTCCAGATTTAACACTTCCTTCACTTTCTCAAGCACCCATCATTCCCACTCGGAAGCCAGGAGTCTACATCTTTCTAATTTACTTTCAGAAAAAGGCGATGAAAATGCTAATTCCCGGGCAGCATCAATTTTGGGATTTCTTTTTTGGTTTTAGATAGCAAAAAATAATTCAGGCACATTGTTTTCTGTTTTAAGACACGAACGTAACCTCTTAGTAAAGTATTTAGCCACCATCAACAGTTGTTAAATTCGTCTTCAATATGTGTTGAAGGCTCGTTTAAGTAGAAATCTTTCACGTGAAGATCTATTCATGGATTCGTTACCCAAATGTCCCTCTTCTTGCGTAAATACGAGGACGAATTGTTAGCCTTCCGTGACACCTCACAGGCACGCGTATTTTGGCGTGCCCAGCCATCCACCACCAACTGGCTCAGTTGTGCACGTTTGTTCGCTGTTGTCGCCTTATCTAAATGCACACATGCGTTCATTCACTCATTCCTACGTGCCTACGCATGTACGTATCTCCTACACCTTCACGCAAACAGCCCCTCCTATAGTTTGCGTGTGTGAAAATCTCTTCTCAGTCTTTTGCTAAAGTTTCCAAGAGCCGCCTTAAGTTTCGAAGCCTCTAAACTACACTACCGTTAGAGAGAATATGTATTTTCACATTGTAGTTCAGTTTTAGGCATAGTATCTCACCGTAAAGGTGAATAAAGCGAATGTCATTAGTTCTGGGAAATTGTGCCCACTTAAGACAGTTCTATAAATAAAGCGTCATTAATAAAATTTCTGATCCTTTGCTCATCATTATCAGGAGAAGTACTGAATTGGAGACAGAATAATGAGATAAATGATTTATAATTCCAATAGATTGTTCTCAGCAATGCCTTGGACGCTAGGGGTACTCACCCATCATTTTCCGATTTATCTGGTCGTTTTCGCACTAGTTCATTCACTAATCAAACCACGAGTACAAAAACATCCGTCAATGGTAAATTACTCACACAAGTTTTGTACACACGCCCAAAAACGTGCACGAACGAGCCGTAACTGGACAAAGCTGCAACGTTTGCGCATTCCATGGAATCAAGTACGTGCCTAGAGCTGCGTTTGAGGTGCGGGAGAATCTAGTGCAACACATAATTTACATTAAGCTCATAAATCAGCCTTCGATGATTTACATGCCGTACCAGATTGCATAAAGCCAACACGCTTTTACTCATCCAGTCTCAACTGTCTCTGAGTGACAGCATAAAGAGTACACCAAATGCCGGTTTTTTTAATTTGATTTTCTTACTGTTAGAATCGTGCAAGTGGTGCATTTGCACCTCGAACGTTCAAAGTCCACAAAACCTAACTTTTCTGCCACCTTGGCGACAAAAGATTTATTCATCCGTGCATACGCACCCCAACAAATTTGGGTGTTTGCAGACTTTAGCCCACCACAGCGGCAGCCAACACTGAGTATGGCTAAATGCATGGCAAAAATACGTAATTTTGGGCTTGTTAGACTTTATGTCCGAAATTGTTTCGTTTAACAATGCAGTAGTCTTCAGCATTTTAATCCATGCTATAATGTTAGAACTTTCTCAATTAAAATAAGACGCAATGTGAATTCACTAAGCGTCTGCGCGCTCACATGCTTGTTACAAATTCTGTAATCTGCTGTGGGATCGCGGTTTCGCGCCTTGTCGCGAGCTGTTTTGGGGAGCAATGCAGCCGATATCCTTTGCAAATAATTGTGCGAGCCTTATTTAAGTGCGTGCAACAGAAATGATTCATTGAACGTGAGAAACCGCTGGCTTGGACTTGCTGAGAAGGAGTATGGGAACCAAGGCCATGGTGAACCAGGCGCCACCATATTTCTCACTTTCCTGACTCACCCACACCCACATCGATGGACAATTTGGATGAGCAGTCGCGTTCAGCAGGTGTGGCCGAAGTTAATGGGTGTAGAGCGTCCTGGTCATTAAATTGGCCCTTACCAATAAATCCACAGACAAACTCTTTTAAATGAGAATTCATTTTTGATATTAATTCTCTACATAAATAACATTAAACTGAATATTTAAGCATATATTTGTCAATTGATGTCTGTCCCTAATGTGCTCGAATGATACTAGTCTGATTACTAAATTTCCGAATGGACATGTTTAGAAATCACTTATCAAACGTCTTTTACGCTTATTTTAAAGCTGTCTGAAATATTTGTAAAGTACGAATCAAAACTTACAATTTTATTTGGTTTTGTGAAGAAAAATATTAACACCCACTATATTCTGACGGCCAACTTTGGTTTTTCACGTCAGCGTCCTACTAAAACAGGCTTCTGCATTAGTGAATTAGTAATTGATATTTCAGTAAATCGTAACACATTTTTTCAGTCAGTTTGCCTGTTGTTGTACTGTCCAAATTCTTCTTGAGATTTGGTAGATGTCCAAACGACTACAACCCGCATTGCAGGTTCTATCTGGCAATTTGAGCTGCTTAACGACTGCACATTATAGTAGGCCATTGATACACGTTCTCTTTAGACCTTGTGATGACAGAAATTGGCTTTAGCCTCTGTGGAAGTGGCTTCGCCTCAGGAGCAATGGACAGTCTTATCGACCCCTTTTGGACGGAATCATCCAGCTTCTTAGAGCCTCCCTTTTGTGAACTCAAGCCTACGTCTCCTGGATCCACAAAATCAACAAGTAGCTTGGATTCCTTGCTCCGAGGGGCATCAAACACTCCTTCTGATTCAACTCCACCTCTATCTCCATGGAAAAACGATTCAGAAAGGCGCCTTCTTCCAGCTTCATCTGAAAGGAAGGGGAACGTCTTTGACGACCCTGTGAACAGCTTGTGGCAAAGTGACGTGACTTGCGAGTGTCCTTTAACATCAGCAAAATTAGCACTACTGCCAATTCTTCCAGACCAATATCAAACCAAGAAAACTGCACTTCTCGGTACCGATTCGCTTCAAGGTTTTGATGAGACTGAGGCTACTTCCACCTCTGATGGATTGGAGGAACAACTTGCCAGTGCCGACAATGCCTGGACGGCTGCGCTGGAACTGCCAGGTATTACGGAAATGTTAAGTCGTAGATGGTGCCCACGTGGCCAGAATGGAAACGTCAAGGCTGGGTAGATACGTTTTTGATGTTTATTACTTCATCAATGACCCGATTTTCAAGGTCGGATATTGTGGACTTAATCGTTTAATAGATGGAGAATTCGGCAATACTGTACACTTAGACGGATAAACTATGCAATGCTTATTTAATGTTTTAGCTCTCACGGCGGAAGATGCAGGCCACCTTCTTGCTCAAACACGAATATCAAATGCTCGGACAGGCCGCCTCCCATACCGACGGACACAGCGGCGACTTCGAAAAAAAGTTTTAAACTCTCTCGAATTCCGACGAAATTTTGCACCTTTTACGGACTCTGAGAGCACAGAGACTGGTTCCGAAGGTGAGGAAGATCATAGCGAGGGGGCATCCCCCCATCGGAACCGCAGTCGCATGTTCATTGAGGGACGTGTAGAAGTGGTGGAGGACCTTTGTTCTTCTGCTCTTGATGACAGTGATGAAGAGGATGTTAATCAACCGCCTGTAAAGAAGGCAGCAAAATCCTCTCCTCGACCACACACATCTCTACATTTGCGGCACACCCAGTCATCGAAAATCGATTACACGGAGCCTTGGTGGCCACAACGGTCAGGTTCGGTGTTCCAACGCCTCTATTCAAGGGGTCCAGATGGTGGCAGCGGTAGTGTTGGACGCAGTCGAAGGCAACTAGAGCTGTGGGAGTTCATTCTGCGCTCGCTAGATGCGAGGCCAGTCGGCGAGACGGCATCAGCCTTCAAGTGGGTCAATCGGTCGGCGGGCGTGTTCCGGGTGACAGATACACAGAAAGCTGCCAAAGAGTGGGGCCTCTATCGTGGCAACGAGAGAATGGACTACGAGAAGATGGCTCGTGCTATGCGGTAAGACTTCCGATGTTAAGAAAGAGCTTACTTACATTGAGATGACTAGCCTGATTCATATGAAGTACCATAACGAATTCGAGACTGGAGAAACCCCTTAAAAAATTATAATTAAGAATGCCCGAAAGGAATTTCTGTTAAATATTGTTTGTATTATACACATAGTTCAAACGGTATTCCAGGGTGATCCAACAGCGCACTGAACAGACGCGACACATATGATCATTCACTCCTCTAAGTACTACTTAAATAGTCACTATTTTTAGGAGGACGTGGGTAGAAATTGCACAGCCATCCAAATAGAAGCACGAGTAAAATACTTTCAGTTTTTCGGTAATTAAAATGCCAGCATTCCATTTGCGTTACTTCGTGTATCAAATAAAATGAAGTAAATTTGCAAAGGTTCTAGATTGAGTGTGCATTTTACAGGTTCTACTATAAGGAGTGCGTGCTCCGGAAGGCTCGCAAACAGCTGCATTTTCAATTTTCCATGCCATTCGTCGCGTGGTCGAAGCAACATCATTCCTACGAAAGTGTTTTCACCTCAGCGTCGTAATCCCTCATTCTGCTGCCTTCTTTTCACAATCATTCGATAAAGTCTGGTGTACATATTTTGTAATTTCTTCACTACAACTATCACCACGATGATGCTAATAAAACGCAACCAGTCAGTTTATCCGAAATTTCGTGACTAGCGTGTTCAAACCACGAGAAAGCTACCAGTGTAACGAACACTGCTATAAAGAAAAACCGTGATTCTTGAGGAAGCAATAGGTATGCAAATCAGGTAAATCTTGGCTGCTGGACTAAGTACGAGGTATGTACTCTGGATGAAATGCAACTATTCTTCAAGAAATATGAATGGGGTATCTTAAATGGTAGTGTAGAGCCACAATTCTTTGCCAAGGTTGTAATAAGCCATAGTATGGAGATCATATATTACTAGCGTACAGAAGAATCGGGAGACTATTAGGCTGGACCGAAACCCATACCAGAGTGGAAGAAAAGCCAGTGGAGACCCAGGCGGCTGCGCGGTTCAACACAGTCGAAGAAAATACCAAGTCGCTATATGACTCCTCTTTCCTTTTTTGCTGTCTGTAGTACTTCCCTTTGCCAAATTCCGCGCCAGTCGGTGGTTTATAAAACTCGCGGACCACAAACGCGAATTACTCAGCTTTTTTGCATGTGACGATGCATCTGATCTCAACGGCACTGATGCGTCTGAGCAATTGCATTGTATTCAGGGTTTCGCCATCTCTATGAACTGTATCGAAAAGGAAAAAGCGGCCTAGCGTTAATAATGCTCAAGACCAAACGATCCTGTACAACAGGAACATCTTGTGTACTAATTGCTGTTCATAAGAAAGCTTGCCGAAAAGTAGACCCACCTGACAAGAGACATGATCTATGATAGTCCCACGAGGACAACATTTAGCACCCATTCCTCCTCCCCGCTGTTCTCGTTTCAGTGTCGTCCATCCATTTGTTTGAGTCCCTTTCGGCCAGGAGAGAAGCAAAGAAGCTATCTTTCGCCCATGTAATTAACATCTCCAGGTAGGTTCCGTTGACAGATACGTAAGACTTTTCCAAGTAGTTCAAGCCTGTTATCGCTCACGTTGTCGGCGCCATTCTTGCAGAACACGGAATTGGAACAGCTACCAAAGGCGGCCGCAATCTTAAACCTGATGATTGAGGGTTTCCACAAATTTATCCGTCCATGTAATGAAACATTCTTCTATCACACTAAGATTTACCAATCAGGAATAAAAGCACAATATTTATGGTTTTGGGTTGTTACCATTAACGTAACACCCCATCACTTCCAAATACAGCAATAAGGTAAAGTAGTACGAAGAATGTACAATACTAATACACAGAGGAACTGAGAGACCGCCAGCGTTACTAGGCTCCGGGAAGCAGATCAAAAGCATATGACGAGAAGACTAGAGTGCCCGCGAGGATAAAAAGCACAAATAAACAGGATGTCTAATGCTTTACTGTACAAACATTGCAATGATAACGATGTGTTAAATGTTCCGCACAATTAATCTAATTAGCGGCGACCGACAATGTATATTAAGTAGAACTTTATTTGTCCATGATTTCTAACCACAATTCACACGGAAGAAATCGGACAATTTAGGATGAGTAACTAAAACCCTTCAATAAATGCAATTAATTTACAAATTACAAGTGACATACCTATCCGGTACTTAAATAAAACGACTGAAATATAGATAACCTGATGGATGTCAATAACGAAATTAAGTTGTAATGAGAAATCTATGATAATGGACAGATGTCACGTTAAATTGTTTACGATAGCATTACAAGCATCAAAAACACAAACTGACTTAGCGGTTAGGCTATGCGGGATATTAAAGCACAGCCATTGCGCCTCCACTCAACAGCATGGCCTCGAGATTTTACCGGAAGACTATCAGCCTTTCAGTAGGTTAGCAAAACATATGCTGCTTTAAAATCAGGATTTTTACAAACCCAGGAATCACCGGGGAACTGCAACAAAATTTTTGTTATTAAAAAGCTTTTTTAGGCAATCATCTCCATATTTATCTACTTAAATATTTGGCGTATGAAAGGTTTGCGAGAAATTAATGGTATTAATGCCATCTAATTCACAAAGCTGCTTGCCTTGATATTCGTCAGGCAAAGAGCAGATACATCTGCCCCAACTCTTCCCTGCGACTCTTTCTACGAAATCAAAAAGCTCTAAAGATATATAATAATCGTAGCATCCCGAGACCAAATTGTGGCCTACCGAGATTCCCTGAAGACAAAGGAAGACACAATACTCGAACAGAATATATATTCAGCACGGAGAAGGTGTCTGGGCTATCGGCATGGCCCGAAGGCCAACCCGCCCAGCGAGGTACAAGGAGGCCAATTCAAAGTACAAAAGCGGCGCCTCACCAATGCCGAGGGATAAACCACCATCTTATAACAAGGATAATATTAAAAAGGGTCGGATTTCTAATACAATAGGCCCAACGTCGCGCTGTTGGGCGGAAGCATGATCTGCAGGAAGCGAAGTATCCAAAAACAGATAACTGCATGGTCAAACAAAGTTTTGAAGTAAAGAAAAACAGTGTTAGGCGTAAAAATCCAAGCTGCCTCTTGGTATTGGTGACAAGCTGTTGTGATTTTGAACTCTGCAGCGCATCAAATCCCTTAACAAATTTATTTTTCGAATTATGCTAAGGCATTTTATTGCAAGCTTATAAACCAAAGTTTTGAAATGGAGTATTCGAAAAGCAGAAAGGTAAGATCTGAAGCTTAAAATTTATCGGGGCTACGTAGATGATGGTAATGACTTCCACACCGTTGGTCCTGTCGGTGTTGGTGTAGTGCCTGAGAGGCCTGATGGTGGATTCCTACGACTACTTGTTGAAGTTTCTTATTATTGGGGACGCTTCCACAGGCAAAACCTGTATATTGAGGCGTTTTATTGAAGACACCTTTAAGGAGGATATGCTTCACACTATAGGTGTCGAATTCGGCACGAAAGTAATTCAAGTAGGTGGAGAATCTCTTAAGCTACAAATATGGGACACCGCTGGCCAGGAAAGATTTCAGTGTGTCACTCGGTCTTACTATCGAGGCGCCGCCGGTGCACTTGTCGTATACGATATTTCATGTCGAGAGTCCTTTAATCGTGTTGCCGATTGGATTTCCAGTGTGCGTGAACTTTCAAAGCCCGACCTTGCAGTCGTTCTCGTCGGCAACAAATCTGATCTTGCTGCTGAACGCCGAGAGGTTAGCCTCATTTGGTCGTCGAAAACGTCGTTTAATGTCGATGGTCTGACTGTCTATTTAGATCAAGGAGGTGTTGCAAATTTTTGCTCTTTTTGAAGGTGAACGAGGAAGAAGCTCGTCAGTTCGCCAGGGACAATGGGGTTCACGACTTCATCGAGACTTCTGCTAAGTTGGGGGAAAATATTCAGGAGGCCTTCTACGCAGCTGCACGGACAGCTCTCGAACGAGCTAAAGCTACCCAGTCCACCGACATGTTCCTGCCCGCCTCGAGTTCTGGTGGGGGTTACCTTCATCGTGCTCCCCCTAGTCAGAATCGAGTCAGCTGTTCTGGTGGCTGTTAAGCTTGTCCTTTTTAGTAAGCGCTCCCAGCCTCTCGTAATGAATTTGATCCACGCTGATCCCGGAGATTAAAATACTGAGGATGCTCATCAGAAAGCGCTTTTTACCCATTGGTAATTTCCCAGATAGGCCAATATGCAGCACCCCCTACCGTTAGGCCCACTAAGCAGTTATGGGATTTGGCTGAATCCTTGATTGTTCCGAACCCCCCCCCCCCCCCTACTTAAGTACTCGGTACTACTACAATCATTCGACGCCTTTCTAGGCAATTCTAGTGATGAAATCGATTGCGGCTCACTATGCACTTGTCCTAGTAGTTGATCTGCTCTCACCCATCTCCGTTTTAGATTTATCTTATCTGGTTGTGTAATCCTTGGCCAATCGAGCGCGCACCATTGGCCTTAATAATTTCTTGAATCGTGCGTCAGGCGCCCCATTCCTTTACTATCTAACGTATCACTATCCATATGAACAACAACCACTTCTAAATTTCCTCGCATACTTTTCTTCATTCATTACTATATTTTGCCTGTTCCATCTATCGGCTGTGGTCTGTGCCTTCCAGTAAATTTTAATACCACCTTTCCCCGCTTTTCTTGGACGTGCAGATGCACGCCGTGGGTTGACAGTCGATACTAAAGACCACGTCTCAAATACCTCAAAACACTTATTTAGATACGCAATATGTCGTTGAAGATGATTGTGTCGTCTTGGTTATCTGCGGACATCGTTTTGGCACAGGTTGGCACAACGCATTAACGAGGAATCTAGCGGTAGGAAAAGAGGCAAATTTGGAAATTCCTCGAATTCCTCCTCGACCTGCCTGAAAGAGCACCAGGTGAAGAGATGCGCAGTGGTTGCCAGAAGAAGACGGAAAAGGAATGCCCGAGGCAGAAAGCATACTTTCGAGCTAAGCAACACACGGGAGGCGAGGTAATTCGCGTCGGGCCTTCCATGTCTCTCCATCGGTGCGAAGGCATGTTGCAAGGGTTCCCTGGAGGCGGCCACCTGGTATTCCTTGAACCAGATGGTTGGGTCGTGGAACACGGCAGGCTCGTTGAGGAGGACCAGGTCGTCCGCAAGAAACCTCTCTCCATCTCGAAAGGCCTCACGCAAACACCCGAGAGGCCAGCCTACCACGGTGAAACGCAGAGACTCGAGACATAGTGCCTTTGTGAAGGAGAGGCATCTCGTTTCTAGGTCGATGCATTCCTCCTGCAAAGAGAAGTGCACCAAAATCTCACCCAGCTCGAACTGGTCGCCTCCCGCTTTTCGCTACTAACCGTCAAATTAGCGGTGTGTTTTCTGCACCTGTAAGGGCAACTTCTTCGATGTTCGGAGAGTTCTCTCAGTAGCTGCTGACCCCACCCAGGGCGAGCAGTTAGTGCTGCTAGAAGAGTACGGAGGCACGGTATGAGACTGTGGTGTCCGAGGAAAAAGCTTTCAAACAGGAGGTGATTGATATGTTTTTTTGTAAGAAACGCCTCCACATCCTCACTCTTCTGGTCATCAAGAGGTTGGGAAAGGCTGAGAGTGCGTTTAATCCACAAGAGATAGGAGAGAAGAGTTTCTGATTTTATATTGGTGCCTCGACCCAACTCAAACAGAACGAGAGGCTCAACCAACCGGTCGACTGCGTGGGTTAGCGCGCTTCCGCCAACGTGAAAACGCCTTGGAAGATGACCGAAGATGTGTAGATGGAAAAAGCCGTTTGAGAGTTCATTGAGTTCAGTCAGAGTATCACATTGAGTTCGTTCGCCCCAAGAAGAATGCATGATTGCTTCAAAGAGTATGTGAAGAACGAGCCGGTTTAAATTGTCGGAAGTGAGAGTGATTTCCTTAGACGCGGTGCTCAAAAAGGTCCGTATGCCACGATCAGAGGCGCCTATGAAGATGCTAGCAGGAAAAGCCTGTGAGGCAAACTCGAAGAAATCGTTTAGCCTTGAGTATTCCATTGTGAATGGGTCGGAAAAGATTAATCCCTTCCATTCCGGCGAGAAAGAAGCTAACAATAGATGCAGGAATACTTGAACTCAGACGTGCTAGGTGGGTGCGCGTTGAACAGAAAAAGGCGCTGGCGTAAACTACTAGCTTCAGGGTTATCAAGCAAGTCCATACACTATACGTAACTGTTCTTACTTAAACCACTGCCTTAAAGTGGTCCTTATTTGTGTATAAACTTTGTCTGATGTTTTAAAAAAAGACGCAAAAATGCCCCCAGGCGACTTTAATAAACTGAATAGATAATCTATCTAGCCTCCAAACCCAAGAACGATTTATCAGTAAACTTTACAGTCGCATTGGGAAAAGTATTTTCTAAGCTTCAAATCATCTCGGGATTCTTCGATTTGCGCCCATTTTGAGATAACTACAACGACTCGAGAACCGAGGCGTGATAATACTGTTGTGTAATCGGGGATTTGGGTAGACAATGAACCGAGTTTGCCTATAGAAACAGGAAGAAAGAGAGTTGGAAAATCAGAGATGCCAATCGATTTCACACTTCGCTGTGACCGAGAACGCACCTACTCAATAAAGAAAATTCGGGGAAAGAATGCTTACTCGAAAACTGTTTAGGCAAGAAATACATACAACAATGCTGACGAACAGGATAATATTAAAAACGATCTTCGAGACTATGTCTGTCGACTTATTGTCAGAGAAAAATGCATGATATGACGGCTCTTCAACATCCATCTTCACGACATCTTCACATACCACAGCGGGACAAATTGGGATAGAGCGTCGTCAATTCCATTGGTCAATAAATGGCCGGGGATTGAGGGAAATGCGGAAAGGCCTAAGAATAAGACTTTGTAATGGAAGCATTTTTATTAAGCTCTTTTACGAATTCACATCAATATAATACTTTGTGCCACAGCAATCTTTTCGTCACGTAAGAAGACTTATGAGGTTTGTTTCTTTATCTCGTTAAATATCGCGTACTTAACAAAGATTTACACTTGACGGAACATAAATAATTGGTTGTTATTATCTGCAAACTAATATACGTTTGTAAATCCTTAATAATGGACTCGCATACACCAGAAGGCGCTATTATGTTCCTATTTAAAAGTATTCATAATTACACTACCAAGTTGCTAAGCAGAAATAGTTGTATTACAAGTATCTTGATTCCAGAGTTTGTCAAATTCTCACTAAATCTCACTAAATGATAAGATCTAAGTCAAGAATGAAACATATAAGCTTGCAGGTCGAAAAGTGCCTAAAGTAAATTGCAGGTGCGACATTTGATGAATGTTCATGTTTAAGCACGCTTAGCTACCACATCCGACCTATTAATAAGTCGAATAATGTGTTATGGACTTTTCCGACTTTCTGATTTTATACGTTTGACCGTCTTTATTCGGATTATGACCACCCTAATGTGGATGGAAGTTGTAAGTTGGAATGATAACGCCTATCTCATACGTAAATTTTCAAAAGTAATTTTTTTAGCACATTTTTACCAGAAAAGATCTCACTATAATCAGGTCGATTTTGTTCTAGACAACCCTTCTTGAGTGATTACCCTTAGTTTGAGTTGTCGTACCTGGTGCACGATTAAAATGAGTTCTAAGCGTATCTTTGTGCTTGTCTTACACCGTTTTGCTAGGTGAAGCTCTAGTGACCTCGAAGACTTCCGCTTTCCAAAACGACAGATTATCTAGCAGAGGTCGACGCTACAATCTACTCTCTAGGGACCGGCTTAATGTTCCCATTAGAGACAAGGAGGGGAGGTATCTAAAGCAGCTTTCAGATGAACAGTCACAACGCCTAATTTCAATAAGCTCTGATGAGGAAGTATCTGTGTATGTCTTAGCCGGTTTATTTAGATTATTTTTAGAGGCGCGCCCTGTTGTCGTTTTGATACAGACGCGTTCTTACCCTTTTAATAAACTTGTGCAATTTCCGTTTACCTTTCGCTTGGTTTTACAACTTCTTTTTATCTTTTAACTACAAATTGACATACGTACTTCTTAGTATAGTTGGTACCAGTTAAAATGAGTGGCAGTAGTTTAACACCTACTTCTCTTATGGTTTACAATCTGTTATGCCCTTTTGAATGTCAACCTGATTTTTATCCCTATTACCTTTATTTGCCTTTAGCGATATCTACAATACTCACTTTATGTCCAGTTTGGCGGGCGACGAGATGATTGAGGTGTTGCGACGAGACGGTTACAATTTGGACCGTCCGACTACTACTGTAACCGATTATCCCGACTTGGACCTCGTTCCCCCCCATGTTATAACCGAACGACGCTCCGTTTTTTCACGCCTTCCCTGTTGCAGTCGACGGAGTTCTTGTAGCCTCATGTAAGGAGGGAGAGCATCCTAAGAACTCCTACACACCTGTCTTTCTCCTACTATGCGTTTGCGAGAGCATTTACTTCGACTTCTTTTGTACGCTAGTGACTTTGGGATTCGTCCAGTCTACTTCTGTGCATCCTATCGTTGAATGTAATTGTCGACGTTATTCCGTGCTTACATCCTGTTTTCCGACTTTTTTTCCAGGGCCGTGGTGCCGTCAATCCAGTTTAATGTGGAACAGCGCTACAATAGATTTTTTGTTGCACATACTCATGCACTCAATTATCACCGTGTGTTACTCAACTCTACCATTGTGGTAACTCTCTGCCAAATTACGCACATCTCAAATCTTTCTGCTAGAAAAGCATGTTTTTATTAGCACATTCGGGAACCCAGGCATAAGTAGTTAGGCTAAGGATGCCCGTTAGACAATTGAGCACTGCATATTTGACGGGATAATTATTATCGAAAGCGCTACCATGGTGGGTTGCTCTAAGTAAGATATGTTAGTATGGGAAGATAGTACAAATTGGGGAGGGGATACAAGCTGTCCAAATATTGAGCAAGGTTAGAACATGGCGAGTCAATCGGTTGCTACCTTCGGCAGTCGATGCATTAAATTCACCGGATGCCGCTTTCACGGTAGTTCAACTTGTACACTCGTGTGTTGCCGCCTCCTCAGTTGTTAATCCAGGTGATTCCACCCTTTTGATTGTGCTGGAAATTTTGTGATAGGCTCTTGAGTTACCACCCCATGGCAGTTGGTGCGATTGTTGTAGGTGTTTTTACATGTTCCCTTGTACTCGCTTGATTCCTCTCGTTATTATCCTCGCAATATTCTGATGTTCCTTCCCAATAGTCACTTGTTTCTTCGTTGTCAAGTTACTCCTTGTAGCGTTTTGTTAAATCCCCATATTCTTCAGATGGTCTTCCATAGTTTTCTTCTGCATTAGTTTTGTTTTATCCCTTATATTCTACCCTATCGGTGTAGTCTTATTGCGCGATCTACAATGAATCCAGAAGTAGCAATGGTAGTAGTTTAATGAATGACACGTCCTTAATTTTCTTAAAACTTCCCTTGAACCAAATGAATTTGTTAAATAGAGTGTTCCTACATGTGGGGGTCGCGCACTGAATCCTAGTATCGCCATCTCTGTAAGAAATGAAATGAGATTAAAGAGAGATGTCCTCGGCTTTCGTACTTAGAAACTTCACCCCTTTTTACGTCACATTTATAGCTGTAGGCAAGTCAGTGTATGTACACATGTAATGATGCCGATGTCGCATATACGTTGGAGGCATTGAAATTGTTCCCCTTTGCTCGCTCAATTTAGTTTACCTTCGGAGCAACTGGGATCTGTCCTAGATTTGAGTTTGCTGCTTAAGCTAAGGAACGAAATTTCAGGTGGAGTTGTGGATGTGCCAAAGCGAATTTATGCAATCCATCTACTAATACGGTGCAATCTGATCTTGTTACCATCTTACACCTTTTAAGAAGTGGATACAGGAATTATTACTATGCCTGTTGTAGGATAGATTAAACACGCCAAATTAATAAGGGGCGTAAGTGGCATTGACTCTTCTCGAATATCATTCAAAACTTGTCCCAGTTCTTCCCACTAAAAGAAAATACTTTTTGATATTTACTACATACTTTGAGTGCTAGTTAATTCAGTGATGAATTAAAAAGTCAAGATGAAGCATACATTCAGCATTGGTCTGACGCAAAAAAGTCTTACAAAACTACGGGAAAGTATCCCCCCTCCTTTATTTCCACTCAAGCAATGTGAAACCATTTGAGCATTCATACGTGCTTAGCCATCAGTATGATGAAGCGCTTAACATAGTCTTGCGAGTTTAAACTACAGTCCAAGGAAGCAACGTAGGTCTCGAGAACATTCGGGACTTTCACACCGGACGAATTAATGTAGTAGAGAGTAACACTTTTCTTAAGCATTACGATAATGAGATGCCTGGAAATTGAACCTAATCAAATGTAGAATACTTAATGAATATTAGTGAGATATCAGCTACGGCGTTGGCGGTGAAATCCACTTCTAAGTTCAGTTTCCTGAATTGATTCTTCCGGTTTTTTGTAGATTTGAATAAAAAGCGGCTTTGGTTGAGGTATTTTGCAGTGTTCATTAATTAATGCTATCACCACACGTATTTCTATCCTTAATGAAAGGCGTATCATCCTTCACAAAAAACAATTTGAAAGAACCAGTCTTTTTAATCTGATCAGAATCGTACTTCTATTGCAGCGTTCCTGTGGTAAATTTGCTTTTGAGAAATAGTCATACAGGTCACCATAGAGGTTAGTAAACCCAAATGACGGTCATGGACCATAAGATTTTTAAAAAGAAAGTGCGACCTGCGCTGACTTCTTTGTGGCTTCATCCCCAAAAAAATGTTGCATCGTGTATAAATGATGATATGTACTGAGCGCCTACCAGGCACCCAAAAACCATCTTATTTCTAACTACGTTGGGCAGATAAACTTTGAACAGACGCTTCCTTTTCCAAAGTGTAGGCGTGTCATAGAAAATATTCCTTTAAAAAGTGTCTAGTTCCAGTGGTTTTTTACTCTCATAGCCCTGAGGCCAGGACACCCGACAAAGGTGCAATGGCGGGGCATCTAAGTGGCCCCTTTACCAAAACCGAGAGTCAAACAAGCATTTAAAATACTACAATCATATCAAGACAGTGATTTTAGTAGCCATACAAATAGATTTAAGCACATATTCAGGACTAATTAATGGTTGCCCAAATCATCTATTTCATTAGTGTCCAAACAAATTATACCCAAACATTTGCCGTCATTAAGTTTTAAGAATATCTTTTATTCATGTCACCATATAACACAGGATGCTTTGGATACCTACGTCAGCGAAATGGCTTTGAACCTGGCTTAGAATACGACGATATATAATGCAGTTAGACGACTCGCTTATGCACTCCACATTTAACTAGGAACTTGATGCTAAATTTGTCAGCAACTTATCACTCGTGTTCACCATATTTGCATTCATGACACGTTCGCTAACAATTTACGATTAGTTTATCATCTTCAACGAGCATTTCCACTCATCACTTACATCTTCAAAGATAAAACTAGCGGTAGAATACGCTACACCTTTTAAATAGCAATATTATAGTCTTGTGACTTCGCGCCCAACTCAGCAGTCGGTGCAGACTCTCCCTGCTGGGAAGTTTGCAGGCGCAGTTGTATTAGCGGCACAGAGCGCAATTAAGGTCATTGTGGGGCCTTTCAGACGCGATAGAGCTCAGACGTCTAAAGGCTTTCACTAAAATCGGTTCTTCAGACTCTTGCACCTCGCCTATCACCACAAGAGCAAGTAGCAGCGACGAGAACAGTATCAGTGGCTACATACTTTGTTGTGTTTTCTACCCAGATAATGGACTAAAATTGACGTTTGTGAAACTCACTCATATCCCCTTTTAAATGCCGATGTAAATATGTTCCCAAATGTACCAAGATGTAAACACGGCTACTGCCGAGGTGCTGCGCGTTTCCACAATCAATTGCTTTCACACAACCATTTCATAAAACTGGAAGATCTGGAAGGGGAATTTAACGCTGGTGTATGCGGGAAATATATGGATTAGCTAAACATGTGTGGGCCATATTGATAATATATGTAATGGCATGCCATTTCAGCGAACGTGGCTACTCAGTAGGAGCAAGGCATTTGTTGGCTCCTGGTGATGTCCCAACCTCACACAATTTGTGTTAATTTCACCTAAGTCATAGATTTATGAAAAAATGGCTTTGATTTAGGGATGCTAAACTACACATTTTCCTAGCCCATGACTCGTTATAAATATTTTATACACTATTTAAAAACAATTAACATACGACAGACCACCTTCAACAACGAAAACATCATTTTATGAGCCTTAGCCTAGCAAATTTCTCTTACATTTATCCATTTAAGAACAAAACCGGAGGAGTTAATACTTAAAACCTTAATTAAGTAGAAGCTAATACATAGTGCTAGTATGTTGTTACCATTTTCATAGACTAAACTAGATTTTATATGAAGCCGACCGAGAGTATTTAGCTCTGTCTGTGCTGAAGATATTAATAGCAGTAAAATCGGCACCTTTAAATCAGTACAAATTGGCCCGAACTTCACGTACACACACATCTTACTTGTTTCAATAAGAATGTTCTTGTGCCTATAAGACCCTTTGACACAACACGGCTGTGGGACCAAAGTCCTCAGCACTTTCACCGAAGCGCTTTTCGAACTTTTACAGACCTGCCTACTTATTAAAACGAGTAGCGAAGTGCCACTACTACACAGAATCCCATGTCATTGTGCACCATGATCAATTTACAGGCAGATTACTAAAATCTTCTAGAATTCATATTAATCTATGTAACCGCCTTCTCAAAAGGACAAAACTAAAAAAACTCAAGTGGCATACAAGTCTCTCACTCGGTAATATTTTAATGTCCACAGGCTACAAAGAACTAGAAAAAGAGGTAACCTCGAAGCAGTGGAAGGAAGGGAGAGAGGCCAAGGAAAACTCGCCCTTGCATCAATTTCTTTTGCACAAGGTGAGACATATATATATATATATAGATTTTTAGAAGGGGAGGATGCGGAACATACAGCATTAAATCAAAGTAGAGACACGTCAACAGACGAAGCATTCTCTTCCTCCTCTTCCCCTTCTTCTTCTTCCTCCTCTTCGTCCCTTTCTCCAACACCCTTTTTCAACGTGGTATTAGGATCGTCGCCCGGAGTCGTTCCACGATTTTCTGAAGTCAGTGTTGTCACCTGGCTGAAAGCATCTGGCTGCACTATACATCGCGATTGTTTAAGAGGTGGAGGTTGAACATCGGCCGCCGATACCGCCGCGGAAGACACTGTTGCCGATGCCGCCCCCTCCGTCGCGACTGGCGACGGTGTGGGCAGCGGAGGCGGGTAGGGTTGGAGATAGTCCAGACCCGACTGAGCCGACCAACGCTGGGGGAGGGCCGGTGGGTAGGGTGAGTACATTGGTGCGTAGCTCATGTTGCCACCACTATTGGTCGCAACTCCTGCACTGGGAGGATAGACCGCATGCTGGTAGAGACCTGTGAAGTGTATCCAGTATCATCCATTAGTTTAGCTCATAAAATTATGCTATTAGTAGATATGATTGTGACAACCTTATTCTATTTAGTCAAGATTAATCATACCGCAAAAGCCAAACCCGCTTCATACCTTGAGAATAGCCAGTGCGGAGAGATCATGGAGATCAAGACATAAAATATGCTTGCATCGAACACCCTTCAATACAAATGTGGGAAGAACCACCAAACTTCTTAAACAAATACACCCGAGGCATTTTAATTGAAAAATAACTACTTTCCTTGTAAAGTTCTAAAGAATTTTACTACACTATGACAATTAAAAGTGACCTGAAGTCTAAATAACTTAAAAATGTTGAGTGGTAGGAAGACCCAACAGCAATTTTTTATCAAATAACGTTATTTTACCGTAGATCATGTTCAAAATCCAACGTTCATGCTAATCATACAGCACCGCCTACGTTATCTGTTTCTGGTTTCCCAGCTCTTACACACTTCATAACTTGGATAAGAATAGGAAAAAGTTGCCGTAGCATTCAACTGATTAAATCACAATTCCGGCGATATAAACAGATATACTGAATATGATCAAAACTATATTGCGCTACAATGCTTAGAAAGTCTTGTTTTTTTTAAAAAAATTTATTCATGAAAACAAATAGGTCATATGGCAGACTGCCGAACTGAGTCCACATAAAACGAGCAAATTCATGCGATTCAACCAAAAACCTGGCAAGCTGGAAACAGACGTTTGGATGTTAGGCTCACATAACTGTAGACAGCCAAAATGCTTCGATTCACAGCAAAACGACCCCTTTTCAAACATTCCAACTCATAAGGGATTTTAGTCCCTGTAATGACCCTATTTTCCCCTAGCAAAAGTATTTCAACGACATGCTTAAAAATTATTCCTCCCCAAATTACACTTTTAAATAAAATATAACGTACGACCAACTGTTAAATCTTTTGAGTAATGCAAAACCTACCGCGATCATACGGCGTAGTGGCCGCAGCAGATGCACCAACAGCAGCACCAGAAGAGGACGGTACGTTTATTTGTCCAACCGAAGTATCCAAAGCGGCACTAACAACTGAGGTGGAGGAACATTGGAGTCCAGAAACCTCATCACCCTTCTCCTCTTCCCGTTTCCGAAGACATGCCTGCTTGGGATTCATGTTTCTCTCTAAAAGAGGGTACACATGCTGGGATAAGATAGACCAAACGAGTGCAGCATGAAAAGGTAACTTAACGGCAGCAGTACCGCGAACTTGTTGCTCAAGCTTGGTGATGAGGGTGACGGCCTGTTGAAGAATGGTGAGTTTTGTCTGAGGTCTGTCATTTTTCAGGTGGATCATGCACATGCGTCCAAGTTCACTGAAGGCATCGTTGATGTCGCGGACGCGCACTCTGCAAGGCAACAAACGACAACACAATACAGGCACATGCAGACATGCGTGCGCTCGCGTACGATCACAAGACATGCAAACCATCTCCCCCTATTTCCGTATTGCAACCCGAGAAAAACACCACCTCTGACTTCGTGCTCAAGACCACTTATCACAGTGACGGCCTGCTGCAGAATCATCAGCTTTGTGAGGGGCTGGGAATTGCCCGTGTGCAGGTTAATCATTTGACCCAACTCCTTGAAGGCATCGTTGATCTCGCGAACTCGTAGACTACAGCCAAGAAACACAGATCATTTGTGGAGAAAAGTGAGTAAAGAGCTCCAAAGCAATCAAAGCCAAGCAGCAAAGACAATTGTATCTAGTAGGAAGCTGCTGATTCTATTTGTACGCAAACTGCAAACACGGTGAGTACAGTAAACACAGAAATAAACCATCATTACACATTATCAAAACATGAGAAGTCATTTTAATAGACTGATAAAAATTGAAGGGAATCGATGGTGTAAGACTATCAATGGTGTGAATATCGAATGAATACAAGGATAGCGAGTCATTAAATGGCACAAAGGGGTGGTAACCAGTTCCGACCTTAAACCTAGGTGGCGTGACAATTCCCGTATTAAAAGTGTCTTAAACTCGAGAATGACGAAGAGCGCCTTGAAGTTTTTGAAACTTTTCTGATGATACATAGAATTAATTCCCATTTATAAAAACATCGTTTCAACTTTCGGAAGTGAAGGCCACTAAATGACTTCAAATGACATTTGAGACGTGTTAAATATTAAAACTAAGCTGATGACTTGGATAGCCAAACAGATGTCGCCATCTACCAACCTCTGTAACAGTGAACCCCTTTGGCCTAAACTTTGTCAGTCGATCCGGAACACGATTTCACCGCAGCTTTTCCCACAATCTCAGCAATGAATCATACACAGTTACCACCATTCATGTTGTCCCGATGGCTGAGTACAAAACGTGACCATCAGTCACAGTCCCCGAAAATAACTTTGGGCAGGACTAAACAGTACCTGAGGTGAGAAGACAGGATATGTGACATCACGAATGGTTATGGTAGTACTTCACATCTGGAAAGTTTAGCTACCTACTCACCGCAACCGATACCATCGAACCGCGGGTACTGGAAGACGGAAATCATTAAACAGAAAGGAAAACTGACATAGGATAAGCATATTTCGTTATTTGAATCCCAAAGTGAATTGTGCAAAAAACTGGACACTTTATTCGCAGAATATTATCAGTGCATCGACCAGTAACATTTAAAAAGTACTTCAGTCTTCGACGTGCCAGCTGCAGTAGACTATAAATACGAGGGCCACCTGAAACGTTTCCGAACTGCAGTGTTAACACTGAAACCAGAAAGTAGTCGTCGTCTGAATACTACCTGGGAAATTGGACACTTGCAGTTCTGTGTGGAAGATGTCACCCCTGAAGTTAAGATTCCGCAATCTCCCAAGGAGTGGCAATCTGCCAAATAATACATTCATCACTCTTGATGAATAAAGAACACTGGCACAGACTAATCATTAGTCTGTTTAGCAACTTCCGGTCACTTTTCGTACCATTTAGCAAAAAGATTACTAGAGTTCCAAAAAGGGCGTTTTGATGTCTTCCGCGCAGATTGATTTGACATTTGCCATGCTTTCATTAATCCTCGTCAGTGTTCCTTGTTCAGCAAACGATGAAAGCATTACTTGACAGTGCCACTCCTTAAGGTATCGTCAAATCTTCACTTCAAGGGTAATGGCTCCCATACAGAACTTCAAGCATACTAAATATTGAATCAATTTGTGCTGAAACCTTTAAAGTGTCCTTCTTAGAATTTTAATTTTTCACCAATTGATACAAAAAGATGACCGGAAGTCGTGAAAGGGACGAACGCCTAACACACCGAAATGCCTAGCGTGGCAAGACGGTGACGTCTCAAATCAATGACGCGATCAACTCAGTAGTTTGTAAGATGACCTGACTTTTTCTCCATATTTTAACGATTAAATGATACGTGGATGACCTCAAAATTGAGAGTTTTCATGCAATATGGGGATGAAAACCATTCGCAGAGTAACAATGACGCCGTAATTACAGTATGGACCACCATTCCACAGACAGGAATGCCGAACTGGGGAGTTGTTACGGTTAAGACAATCCATTGATTCGTTTCAAATATGGTTTCTTAGAACTGTGACAACCAGGGAACTTGAACGTTAGGAGCTTTGATTTGAAAAAATAAGCAAATACGATTATCACGATTATCCAAGGGTCAAGAAATTGATGACAAGGACAGTCAATAAAAGTTAACTGTTTATTTAAAAGAGATTGAGATTGCTTCTCGCAATTGTTCAAGGGCATGAAACCTGATGTCCCCTGTTTTTAACTATGACCTGTCGCTCTAGACAAGACGACTTTCCGAGGCTCCTTCGAATGATTTCTGAAGGGATGTTCAAATAAAACTATTGACATTAAGTATTAAAATAGGCCGTTAGTGATCCCACAAAATGCACTAAAATACAAATCACGAAGTCGAATGGATGTCAAACAGCAGTTTGAAATACAGTGAAATTAACCGAAACCATTGCTGAAAACAAATGTGTTTCGTTCAAAATTGCCAGAAAAAAAAAAGACATCTCGCTTAATAGAAAAGTACCGTTCTACCACCAAATCTATGATTAGATAGAAACAAATTCGAGGGATTGGGTGTTTGACAAAGGAACTTCGACAGTTTCCGTTCAGAAAGCTAAATGTAAAAAAATTAGTAAGAAAAAAAGGTATTTCCTGTCTTAAAAATATGAAAAAATTGCGGACAAAAAGGGTAACAAAGGTTACCACCAAAAAATCCTGCAGTTTGGCAATAAGTGCCCAGACAATTTTGAAGAATACGAACGCATCAAATGGATGAGAGCTTACGAACACAACTGTCAAACCCACCGTTCACGCGCATTATTCGCCTGTCGTCGTGACTTCTCACGTTCCGCCTTTTGCTCCGGCGTCTCATCTTCTCGACCATCCAATGAGTTTGCCCCCTCTGAGTCGGTGCTGATGGAGGGTGGCGGGGGTGGCATGTCCGCTCCGTAGGAGACACTGGACAGCGGTGTGGTGTTGCGTCGCCTGCCGCCTCCACCACCGCCACGCCTCCCACCTCGCGCACTGCCGGCAGTAGTCGGGTTTGAGCGTGGCAGCATCGCCTCAAAAGCGCCGGCAACTCCACCTACTATTGTGGGCCCCACGACTGCCCGACTGGTGAGTGGAGATTCAAGCTTTTCCTCTGAAATGTTGGCGAGAAAAGAATGTTGAGGTGGAATATTGTCGGAGAGGAGAGCGAGTGACAACTCACCCAGGGTCGTAGCAGGAGCCTCTAAGCCGCCGAAAGCTACCATCGGAGGATTCTAAAGATGAAATGTAGAAGGGCAAATAAATTGGCCATCTGTTGCGATGAGGGGAATCAATATAAAGAAGAATACTTAAGAGCAGTTGAAGAGCTTACGAGAGTGAGAGGATTGGTGGGGTCGGAGAAATGCTGTGCATGATGGTGATATGCGATAGCGGCAGGGGAGTGAGCGGGATGGCATTGTGCCGGAACTGCAAACGAAAATCGACAAGCCGCCCAATCAAAGTGGACTCCCCAATGGCAAAATTGTTCGAATGTCAGATTTGAGCACTTGATTCATATGTTAAACAGTTTATTAGAAAGTGCTAAGGAGGAGAAAGGCCAATCTAAGCAAAAATGTCCCAATGAGCTCGCTACAACTACAGAAATGGCCATCCACATGTGAACTCCCACAAAAGTGGTAGCTCTTCTCTGAAAATGTGTGTGAGTAAGAATAGGCTCATAGTCTCGGGTTAAATCAGCAATAAAACAGCACAAAATTTTATTGCCTTTTGAAATCCAGGGTGGAGAGAGAGGGGCAGCAGGATAAAGGGGAGGGGGACAGACCGCGTGAGAAAGCGGCGCCCAAATCACCAATAAAGCAGAAAAATCACTCGCTCCAACACTACATCAACGCTCCTCCCTACGTCGACCATGGCAAACTAACCAGCAGAACCGAGAGGAGGGTTGCACATCCGACTGCCCTGGGGAGAGCCATGAAACGAGAGGGTTGGGGGCACTCGGGGGTTGTAAGCGTAGCCCGGTGCCAAGGCTTCGATACAACTGGGGGGAGGGAATTCCTGAAAGAAAGCAATGTTTAGTGGTGGAGTTGTAATGGATATGCCTCATGGAGGCGGTAAGTAAAATTAAAATGTTCTACCCAAAGCCTCCCAAAAAATGCTGAATAACAACGCCCACCAAGAAAATGCGGCATGTTGGAACTAAAGAAACTGAAGGACTAGACTTCATTCAGGCAAACAAGAGTATTTAGTGACGCAAATTCGAAGAGGTAGTTTATTACATACAAAAATGAATAGGTACCACCTTGCAATAGCCTAGTCGCATACAAGTTTAAACAAGTTTAATTCAACATGCTAATCGAGCTTAAAACAAACAGCCAGGTACTTAACAACAACAATTCCAATTTCGTAACCACATAACTTCATCGGAACGATAGAACACGTGGGCTACAGTAGACGATTTTCCTCTGTTAAGTTCAAAATGCTAAAATACCGCAATAAAGCTAGAATGTTGGGAACCATGCAGTAATACCAAGACCTTACGATGGGAACATTCTGGAGACCCACAAGAGGGTGAGGTGAGGATCCGGCTTGTTGATTATGGTGATGATGGAGGTAGTTTGAGGAGGATGAGGTGACAGTGATGGCACCGGTGGTGTTCGTCATACTGGGAGAATTCTGTACATCGTGACCATGTTGAAGCGCTGGTGCTGCACCACTGAAACTCATATAGTGCTGCTGAAGGGGTTGGAGGTGGTGATGGTGCTGTGGTGGATGGTAGGAGACAGCAGGATGAGGGGGCGGGGGTGGTTCCACACCGAGTGCCAACGGCGTCGACCACGCCTCAATTATGGAGAGGGAGGTAGAAGCGGAGGTAGAGGAGGCAACAGTTTCGCCTTGACGAAGGAACAGAAAAGAGGAGCGGGTGAACAAATGCACACACGCACAAACTCCAATCCGATGATGGTGATGATGGTCACCCCGGTTGTTTGTGCTGGTGCTCCCGTTGAGGGATAGCGGCGATGCACACACGAATCGATTGCAAAAACGGGCCTTCTGCGCCCATGTGTGCACGGCGTGGATGCGACGTGCGTCCGTCCACTCGGATTAGTCGTGATTGCGGACAGGTGGTGGTGGAAGGATGTGGGGGAGGGAGAGCAGATACGATTGCCCAAATTCGGCCCATAATCAGAAGAGAAAAAGATATACGCAAAACGCACCCGCAACGACTGAGGCTGTTGCAGCAGCGGCGGCAATATCAACAGATGCACCGTAGTAGGAGGATCCTGCCTTCAAAGTGACATTGGAAGTGGTGAGGGTGGTGTACTGTCGCGGTTCGGTATCGGAGACCTTTTCCAAGGAGACATTTGAGACCGTCGAAGAGGACGAAGAAGGTGCCTTGATGGCAGCTCCTTCCATCGCCAACGACTGCAGCGGCTGCTGAGTGAAATAAGCGTGAGGAGAAAAGCGAATAACAAACCACAACCATTAGGCTAATAATGAACATAAGCAGCAGCACAGCCCCAATCATGGACACCAAAATTGTAGGTGTGTGCTACCTTCGTCATTTCCCTCGTCCGTCTGTTTGCAACTACACTTGTTGGATGCTATATAGTGGGAAAACTACATAAATCGAAGGAAGAGCAGCATCAAAAATAAAGATGCAGATCCAGTGCCGCAGACGCGCCGATATATCGAAGACAGCAACCTAGGAAGCTGATGACAGGACACAGAGGAGGGGAAGGGAAGGGAGGGGAGAGGAGGGGAGGGGAGGGGTATGAGTAATGAGGATGAGGAGAGAACGGTAATTCCGACAAACAGAACAAAGATGTGCGAAAATTGACAAGTCGCCATTATGCGCCCTCATATGCATGTGCGTACGTACGTACATGCGTGTCTGTGATATGCGAGAGTGAAAGTTGAACCAGCATGGAACAAAGAAGGTGGGTATTGAGGGTGTTGATATGCGAGATTGAGCGACCTCATTATCTACCCAGACGGACAGACAGGCACGAGGGCTTGTCGCCCAGTCCTCAGAAAAGGAGGCATGAAATCCGAAAAGTTATATGAAAGATGAGATTTTAAATAGTCAGGGAACCTACTTTAATCATTAACCGATGCCACAGTTGACATAAGGTCCCAAATTGTTCAAAAAGACAGTTTTACTTTTCGATAAGCAGGAGAGATATAGGCAAGGGAATTTAGGCGTCGAAGAATGACGATATCCAAATACGATTTGGGAAAAGGGAGAAAGACTGGGGGATAGGTTTCCATAGAATCCCACAAAGTTGAAAATAAGTCAACAAAACCTTCCAGTAACCAAAGTCTCCAAAATCATGCCGGCATAAATCAGGATTAGATTTAAACTAGCCATAGCGTTTCAAATATTCATTAAATACAAAAGAAATGAAAATAGAGGTGCGGGTAAAAAATCACTTCTAGGCACGGTTAGCGGTTATTTAGAATGCAAAAAAAAACCCTAATTTAACCGTAATCTCTAGGTTTTCCATGTGCTAACTTCCTTAAGTAAAAAAATAGGAAGGGGTCATATTTCAAAATTCCTCCGAAAAAATCCCATCAATGCAGATGAAAATGGAACAAATTTAAGACGTGAGAATCTGGAAAGAATATAGACATGAACAAACAAAGATAAGAATATTCGACGATTAAACTTACCATAGATCAACAGTTCTTTGACTAAAAAAACTCGGGGATGGTCACAATAACAAGATTTCACCAACAATCAAAGCAGCCAATTACCAATCCCTAAATGTTTCAACCAAGGAAGCGCTTTAAAATCAAATTTAGATGAAACTGTGAAAAGTGCCCATCGTGAACCTCAAAAGGCAAATTAATGAATACAATAGGCACAAAAAAAGCATAAAAAACGATTGAATGGCTCTAAATTAACAACGCCTCAAAATCGTAATCGAAAAAGGGCACCGAAACACCAAGCCAAGCTGTCACACGATCTCCAGCTGCAATATCCGATCAATAGGCCTAGTGGCCATCATCTCATCTCTCCCTCTGCCCCTTCCTTAACCCACCCACCTACCCACCATAATGCTACTGCTACTCAAAAGAGGATACGGCCGGGTGGGGGAGGGACGCCTAATAATGACTCCGCCACCACTGCCACCCCGTCAAGAATGAAAACGTCCACTCGTGAGGAGGGGGGGCGAGAGAGTCTATTGAGAACGGAGTGAGGGGTGAAGAGATAAGCCCCCCCTCTCCTCACATCACCCCATCCTGGCCGAAAAACAACTGCGAAGACGGCTACTATAGCCGGCCAGATGGTTCGAGTTCCCAATGCAGGCAGTGGATACATACACGTTTCATACACAATGTCGCGCAAGAAAAACGGTGTTTGTTACTGAGGCAATACACGGGCGAAACCAGAGGGGACTCGATTGATTACTACAAAGTCGCTATCACTTTCACAAGTATTTTTTCAGAAGTAGAGAAATGACGAGTGTTGGTAACTTACAGTGGCAGAGGACGGACCAGGTTGTGTAGAATTCGAATAGCGCAATGCGTTATTCGTGATGTCTGTAATGGAAAAAGGAGAGCAGTCCGTTGACCGACAGTATCACAACAACAAAAACGACTGCGAACCAAAGTTACCTCTTAGGTTCCCATTAAACCAAGGAGATGAAGGATCACGGGAATAGTAATCAGCCTCGAATGAAAAAAAATACGCATTACCTAATTTAATAGGGCGCAGAGAAAGTGATTAACACGAAATGAGTCTCATGGGTAAACTACGTTGGCCAATACCAAACGAAGAGAAGCACGCGAAGTACTTAAGTTGAGTGAAAGAAAAGTATAAAAAGCGCGACAGGAAACGCACCGAGCGTGAAGATACACTGACATCTGTAATAAAAAATGCAAAGTAATTGTTAGGTTTAGGAAGCAAATTAAACCACAGATATACAATACATCCAACGCGAGTTCCTAGGATTATATAAAATTTGGATTACGAGATAAACACATATTTGTTACGAATCGAAGTAATGCGGCAGATAAGACGATAAGTTTAAAGGAGCGGATTCGACCAATTAGCAGAATTAAGAACCTTAATCTGTAGGATTTCAACAATCAAATCGATGCAATAGCCATTATGGTTTCTTATAAGATAAAGCTATAGCAAAGGGTGAAAGCCGAGACTAAAAAAGAATGACGACAAAGGGAATCAAGGAATATGGTCAACGTGCAGAGAACAGTAAAGCATTGCTAGCAGCGTTTTGGGTTATAAAAAATCTTAATGATGGACCGAAGTAGCAAAATTTCCGCATCCTCTGCACACCGATATGATAAAGATTATTGCTGCTGTGAGTGAAAAACTACAAACTTGAATTAATAAGAGCAAATATCAATATCCACCGCCAATCAATAAGACTTAATAACTTATTAATGCATTCAATTATTAGATTGTACAGGGACGAACGAGAACTTAGAAACCATGGAAAAACGTGTTGAGACAACTCTAAATGAGTAATGATCACATAAATTCGAACAGTGTTACGCAAAAGGACAAAGCAGAAATTTTTAAAATAAGCAAGAACCTACCACAACCGGCCGATTCGGGAGATGACTCGTTAGCAGGATAAGTAATTCCAGCTGACGCTTGAGATGAAGGATTAAAAGTGTCATTGGGACTGGGTGAAGGCCCACTTTGACCAGGCATCCAGGATCCTCCGGAAGGATGCATACTATTTAGCTTAAGATAGCTAGACCTATATCAAAGATGAGACGCTATTGCCAAGCATTTCTAGAATGCACTATTAAAAAAACAAAGAGTAGTTAAGCAAGTTATATATGCAGCAAAAGACAGACTAAGGGCTCACATTTCAGGAATTTCTATAGGAAAACAGATGATACCACGATTCCCAACTCAATACAGCTGGAATATAGGTGAAAACCGGAAGAGAAGCAAGTAGCGGGACGTTAGGGGAGTAATTAAGCCAGATTTACTAGACTTGAGAAAACTGATAGCCAAAGAAAAAAGATAACCAGGCAACCCAATAAAGTTTGTTTATCCCAGTCCATATAACTCTCCTGAATTGGGATAAACCAGTGTGCAGACTATTGCAGAAACAAGGTCCACGGACGACATGAAGGCAGCAGTATTTTGACCACCTAAGACAAACCTTACATCAGCAAAGCAACCGAGGCCGAACGCAACACCAGCGAAAACGGCAATTTGAAGATTTAATTCACCGCCTGACCTTGAGGTCGATATTAAAGATCAAGAAGACCTAAAATGTTCAGGCTATCGACTTACAAGTAGTCGTTATAAGCAACTTACAAATCCTTCAATCACCCATAATGAGTGCTTGTGTTAGGGGATAGTAGCGTAGAGTTCCGGTTTACACCGACAGTTACTTATTGAATGATATCCAAAATTGCACCGGCTTTCATAATTGATTTAAAATAATCCTTTCAGAGGTCTTAGTAGGTAGGAGGTAAATTTGCACGCATTTCAAATTTGACTTTTGATCCATTCCAAAACTCTTTGCGCATATGAATGTATTTTGAGTCACTTAGGTAAATGTTACCGAGTTTTTACCGTCTGAATTCAATGGGGCGCTTATAATACCTGCTGACTTCTAAAATGCGCTATTTTTCCTGAAAAGGCCCCTCTTTACCTGCTTTATTCCAGGGTTACATGTAAACTACCTATTCGTAAGATCATCGGTGTTACTCATATCGTTTTCAAACCCTTTGATCCATTGGATTGGTTTATTAAGATCCCAGCATATTTTGAAAAGGGGCCTATAGGCTTGGTGAAACGTTAGTGGAGTCTTGATATTTAAGTCATTTTTTGCATTTCTATTGGGTTCATAGAACTCCGACGCGTCACCAGGGACTAAAAAGATATAATACCGGGGTAGAATGTATGTTATCAACACACGGAAGGGTTGGAGCAGCTGACATGGTCCATAGGCCAGTCCACCCGGTGAAGGTACGATGGCTAAAACACTAATTGGTCCTTCACCAAAACTGGGAGTTTAACAAACATCCAACGCGTAACATAGCTCCTTTCCTCTTTTGAGCATCGATTACTGAGCTCTCCTTGGTCAATCTCCCATGTTAGCCACTACAATGTAATTGGTGATATAGGACAAGCACCCCCACGCCATCCGTGCCAGTCATCGAATTTCTGTGAAACTGAGGGGACGCTTGACCGCAACGTCACTGACTACTCTTGGCAATTGGACTGGATCTGCAGTTTCGTTCTCTATGGAGGTGGATTCTGGGATGAAAAAAATTGCGTTGGCCATCACGCGGGTCCACCAATGGGCGAAGGACACTGGCCCAAAAGCCTATTTTTCTAATGGGAAGGGGTTTAAACACGGTTTTGCATTAGTTCCTCCTTACCACGTTGTTCTCACTTCAAAGCTACCCAGTTATATTTATAAGGGTTCTATCCAGCTAGTGGAGAAATAGAGGAGTTACTGTATGTCCTCTTTATTGATATCGTTGTACAGATAAGGTAGGTGATTCCGTAACGAAACTTTTCCAGATGGTTCGCGGCTAGTGCTGATAGCTTTTCTACAGAACATAGGACTTAAGTATTTGCCTAGGGTGGAAGTCATTTCTAGCCTTTTGTTGTAAGCCGTCACCAATTCTCTCATTTGTAATATATACACTTCTCTGGGTTGATGCCCTTCGTGAAAAATCTTACTTTCAGCTGCCACCATCGTAGCTTTAGGAGATTTTCCTAAAGATGAAAGAAGACGTAATGCCTGTGCTGAATTTATATATGCATGTATTTAACATACAGCATAGAATAAGGCAACTGGCATGGCTTAAAAGCCAGCCCATTCGTCGAAAGCACAATGAGGAGAACCAAAACAGCCCTTTACCAACACCGGGAGTTATGCAACCATCCAAGGTATTACAGCTTATCATTATTTTCAAGTAGAATCAATTCCGACCCTATGTGATTTTTAGTCGAACAATTTCACTTAGTCATTACCTGGGAAAAGTTTCCAACTTTCAATGTTTAAAATAAAAATGTAATTGAGGCGCGGTGTGCTAGTGAAAAGTGCTTATCGAAAATTATGTTGTTTGCTAAATATGTGGGTTATGAGGATGCAGTAATTTCCCCCATAGGACAAACCCTTTTCCACTCGCTACACCGATTCCTTCATTTTAGCTATGCAGTCGAAGTTCTTCGCAGTAAGTGATAAGTGCACCATTTATTCCTCTTACACATAAAGGAACTATTTCCGAAAATGCTGAGAACTTCGATTAATGATTGCGGAAAAAAATATGCCTGGAAACGGAGTAATCCCTTTATTCTCGGAAGGACCAAATATGTTTGAAAAGTAGTTAAATGGATCTCAAAATGCCTAAAGACAAATGCGCCCGTAGAGTTTCCATCGTATTTATGAGGGCGACAATAATTCAACCTTACAAGAGTGTAGATTATTGCGCCTGTGTGCACCTATCTGTCTTAAACGTCGTATTTAGCATGTCTAATTTGAGAAGTAAAGTACTTTGGATTTCTGTATTTGGATGAATATTCAAGAACTAACGTGGTTCTGCGTAGTAAATCATGCTGTTGATTGTCCCAATTTCTGCGAAAACTACAACATGCTGAAGTTGAAGCTATCTCAGATTCCGTACACCCAATTTATTTCGAATAAAGAAGTTTTATGGAAGAAATATATTACTTTTATGGGTAAATCAAAGCAATTAACATGAAAAACCCGATCACTTATAATTGAAAAATTTGGAATCCTTTTTTACAGACTGGGAAAGTAGAGCGATTCAATTCACCATTTACAGTAACCACTTTATCAATTCCATCATACAAGCAATTACATCCGAAACGACACGAAATGTTTGCTTCTGCCCGCAGCCATAGCAACCAGTTATAACTAAGCGGCTAATGATGTACATGTTCTGAATAGCGCGAATCGGGACGCAATCAAATCTGTGGTGATTATCAGCATTTTTTAAATTTTTGACAAAAAACCACTTTAAACAGTTGGAGATGTCCGCGTCTTTAGGAAACGTTCCTGTTTCGATTCCCTAAAAGTGCCAAATTTGTTTCAAGTTCCCCACATTCTGCGAAGTTTTAAAACTTGTGATTTCGCTCATTTAATCTGATCGACCAATATCGGCTACGGACAGACTCAATTGTGCTAATACCCAATATGCCACCATGGTCGATCAGAATACTATAAGTGCGCAGGAATCTGCCGTTTCTCCGGCAGTCACTTGACCCGGGATTCAAACGCCACCTCCTGTTTACTCATACGCATCGGTTATGAAGACATCTGGATCGAAGTGTGACAATCACGAAAGTGTACTTTATCAAATAAAATCACCTAAGTAAAATAACTTTTATTTTTCAAAGCATTTTCTACAGATGCCTTAAATACATTAGCTTTTCCTTTTTAGAGAGATTCTGGGCAATGGATTTTTACAATTCTCTCTTGACAAAGTGGCAATTTCGTTCCTATTTATTCCGTATAACGGTCAGCTAAATCCCAAAAAACGCACGAACCAAGTTAGCCGAGAGAGAATTCACCTAAAATAAAGTGCTGAATACAGAAGAGAAATTTATGCGATTCGAGATTTTGTCCAACTGTATAGTGAACGCCCACCGCTGCCACCAATGTAATGTTCCGAGACTTCCTTGATGACGAAAGACGACATAATACTCCGACAGAATATATGTATTACGCACAGATTAGGTATTTGGGCCTTTTCATGGCTCAAAGGCCAGCTCACACGACGTGGTACAAAGGCCAGGTCAAAAGTGGCTCCTTGCCAATACCGAGAGATAAGCAAACGTTGTATTGCATAGGTTTACTGCTTATTATGTTTCCACCCCTAGACATGGTTGGTTGGCCATGTACTAGAATGCGGAAGAGCTTCTGTATGTAAGCAATAAACCTTGTCACAATGGTATGGCCAATGCGCCAAAGCTTCAACACTGCGAAATTATCCAAAAACTAATCACCTAAGTGATGGATCAGCCCTATTCACTAAAATAGGGGTTTTCGCTGCAGCAAAGTGTAGTATCAAGGATATTTCCTGAGGGCGAAAGAAGGCATGATTGTGGGAAAGAATACATCTGTCTAACATAGAGAAGGTATTAGGGTTATTGCCGTGGCCTGGAGGCCAGCCCACTCGGCGAGGTACAATGGCCAAGATACCAATTTCTCCTTTACCAAACCGACCATGAAGCAAATAACCAACGTGTTACAAAAGATGCTGTGGTGTAGTTGTAATGAAAAGGACATCAAAATTGCACCATGTAAATATTATTCTGTAGAAAATCATTGGCAAAACTTTAACGACTGTCAGGGGATGTCAACTTTTCCGCTTTGTTGATTACACAGCCATTTCCTAAGATCAGAATTTCTTTAATTTTACTTTATTTTATAATCCTACTCTTCCGTGATGAAATTCCTTCCTTATAAGATAGTGCATTGCCTGCGTTTACGCCTTAAGAAAAGAATTGCTATTAAGTACCGCTTTTACAAATGTGCTAGATTAAATGACACAAAGTAAAGAATTTTGTTCTTGCAGAAATCAGACTAAGTGATGTTTTTAAAATTGCTCTTGCTCATGTATTTGTTGCTCTACTAATATATGCTTTTTACGTGGCACGGTTCCTTGAGGAAATAGGTTTTGCATGGTTGCGTGAATATTCAATTGCTTTACGAAACAGTCATGACTGTTTTGGCAATACTTACTCTCTCTTTATGAAAAATTTTCTCCATTAAAGTTTTGTTTAGCTGGTAATAGAGTCGTTGAAATCATGATGCTGGCATGCGCTTTTAGGTCCTCCGAATCAGTGTAATTCGTGGTCGCTGACGCTGCCGTATCACCATGTTTGAGAACGCAGTTCTGTTTGGAATTAATCTGGTCTACTTCTTGGCTTTCGCATCACTTTACGTTCAGCTGCCGGGTAAGAAACTATCAGCAGAATCGCATTTTAATGTAGGTCTTATCGGAGATGAGGGCGTTGCTCCTGTTAGACTATTGGATCTATCTGTACCAAAGACGCTTGAGGACTTCTTAATGGGCATCCCATCTATTATAAGATTTCATAATAGCTTTTATCTAAGCGAGTATCATGCAGCTGAACTTTCCGTTCTTGCCGGACTCACGCTTTCATTCCTTTCCATGGCTATACCTCAGTTACTTGGGACACTGTCACTCCTTTTTCAATGGATATCATTCTTTTCCATTGTTAAGGTGAACCACAAATTTAAACAATTATTGGTACTTAGGTTTGTCCAGGTGTGGCCGATTGGAAGTGGACATCGCTTTTAATTGAAGCTGGTTTCCTATGTTTCTTACTATCAATTAAACTACGAAAATATTCGCGTTCTGCTTCCATGATCGTTGCCTGGTTGATAAAGTGGCTTCTCTTTAGAGAGGCTGTCTCTACAGGATTTGCTAGATTAGCAAACGATAACTATTTCTGGTGGGACCTTTCTGCGATGGAGCACTATTTTTCCACGCAGGTGAATTGATCCGTTCGATTCTTTATTGACTTCGCTCGTGTGAACCTGCGCTTCGACATCTCAGTGCTGTTGGTTTCAGATCTCTCCAACACCAGCAGCTTATTATCTTAGTTTGGCCCCTAGTTTGGTCCTTCGTATCATCTCATTGTTCTTCATCGTTATGGAAATTTTCATACCTTTTCTCTTCTTGATTCCCGTACGCGAATTGCAGATATTTTCCTTCTTTGCGAAGGTACGTAGTTTCTTACCTTGTAGTCTTTTCTGAACTTGATTTATTTTTGGATACAAGGGAATGTACACAGTATATTCATTTTTTTAGTATTAAACATCGATTGATGACCGTGACGAGTTAAGGAAATCTATTTTAAGTACACTACCGGAATTTTTATTAACATAAGTATTTCTGCTATGTACTTGTAATTAGACCTTTCAGAGCATTCATTCTGGTGGGGAGATGGGTTTTCCATCGTTTTTCCATTTTTGCGCCTAAGATGGTTCGTACTGAGCACTAATAGGTTTTTTAGGTTCTAATTTCATGTGCGTTCATTTGGGCGATGATTTATACAAATCTGTACATTTTAGCTTAGTTTTCTCACGGTATTTTAGTCTTTTGAAAATGTTAAGTGCATTTAATCGATGGGAACTACGGAAGACTATGAACTATATTTTTCAATGGTGATCCTCGTTAAATGCTCTTTCAGGGTAGTACATCATCATAGTACGCAATGTTTATTTCGCTTACAGGTCATGTTTCATGCCGACTTGATAGTCATCGGTAACCACGGCATCTACAATCTCCTCTCCATCGTTCTCAGCTTTGCTCTTCTGCCGGAGCCCAAAAGATGCAGTATGCTTTATTAATTTCCGTTGTCTAGCCTTTGTGTGAGATTAACACCTTTTTCTCGCTACTTATGAATAATTCTATTCCCTTTATCCAGAAGGATCGCCGGTCTCTCACAGATTCGTCTCAGTTGCAACGACAGTGGCCGTGCTTACAGTTCTCTTCTACGGCGTGTGGGTATTTTTCGGTTTTCAGGAGGGTATCGAGGCCATGCGAATAAGTAAGCATGTGCTTATGTGCTTGTGTATGCTTCGGTGCGCACGCGTTTAGAATTGCAGCCATAGCTTGGCATGTGAATATCTGGGTGTCGCGGTGTTGCTTTACAACGGGCTTGGCCACGTTTAACTGTCTGTCTGGCCTCAATTAATTGCATCGACTCTTCCTGTTCACTGTTGTCTTGCTTGTACGGACGCGTTTATCTACGGGTTTGACTTATGTACCCGTCTGGGCATCTTTGGTTCGCAGATGACTAGTCTCTAGATGCTTTCCATCCACTGCCTGTATGGCTGATGTAAATGTATAACCTATCCAGGTACTATACAAATGACCGACAACAAAAAATAGACGTATCAGAGTAATCAGAATTTTGGTCCCGGTATCATCTCCGGCTCGGAAGGGTCGTACGTTTTCATTTCACATTTGTCAATAAATGTGCGAACAAATTTGTAAAATTACGCCAATTAATCACGTCTTCAGTTAGTCGAACTTGTTTTTATACATGCTTCGCAATGCAGCCAAACAAAGGTTGTTTCAGTTTAGGTGGCTTACAGTTTGATTTTCGTCCACAAAATATGCAAACTTTTTAAATTTAGTGCTATTTTTACGAAGCTATGACGGTGAAAAGGCCAAAGCCTGGCTGCATATTCCACGACAATTTCGCCATCAGTTCAGAGATGGAAAACTAAACTTGATATTTGCACTGCCATCTGGAATTCACCACTTAAATATTGTATCCCATGCTTGAGACAGGGTTAAACTATTTAAAAATCCTCCCAAACCTTGATCCACTTTTCGAGGAAGACTTATTGACTTCTAAACTTCACAACTTCTTTCATTGAGTCGTATTGGTTTCACTACTGTTCGATAAGGACCAGTGTTTTGCTAATTACCTTTCTAACTAGTCAGTTTGCTTTTGGAAATAATACACACGCCCACCGCATTTTTGCCAAATACGCCATCGTAGTTCTGCCTGTTTTTGTAGCGATTCTACGCAAAGAATTCATTGATCAGGCAAAGACGGTGAATTATTACACCGTTCTTATTGTATCTTCGTTCTTTGCTTTGAATCTTCTCGCTGAAATGTTTAGGTAAGCGTTTATTGGGATGCTGCAAAGTTTTCTACCTCTGACGTTGAGTTTGATTATTTCCATATCTATTCACAGATCTTTGTCTACGAGGGGCTGTATGAACCGTATGCTGGACTTCACCGGGGTAGCTCTTGTCGGTCTAATGGGCGGTGGTCTTTTTGCAGCGTCGCTGGTATCTTACCATTCAGACCATTTACACATGATTCTTGGTCTTTTTTTCTTGAAATAGCGCTTTTTCCATTTTAGAAGTTAAAAATGTAGATTTTATACTGGTGTTTTACGGCTAAGGGGGTAGGTTTTGGTGATTACTGCTTTTGAAAAGTGTTGCTTGTGACAATAAGGTTCCAGTGAAGGGAGCATTTGTTGGTGCAGCTGAATACTGCTCAGTCGATCTAAAGCTGCGGACCGACTTCCTGGCTTTGTTTTAGAACAATGTAGTTATTTGGATCACGAAATACCACGTATAATTATGAAAGGTGCTTTTGTTACAAATGTTCCGAGGAGTTGGAAAGCTTGTTGGTACCATGGTCAGAGCTTTGTGTCACCGATGTGGAGAGCGGATTGCAGGAGACTGCGAAGAGCTACGTAATGAGATTCCCGCCTCGGTAGATCATAAGTTTATGTTATCCTAATCGGTCTTTATCATGCGGATCATTGAAACATTAGTATCATTACGTTACTAGTATGAACAGCTTTCGGTTCACGATGGGGATCTGTACCAACCCATTGGTAAAGCATAATCACCAGAATTTTATTTGTACAAATTTTTTGTCTTCCCACCACAGGCGCCATTCTCAAGTCTGGTGGATTCTAGTAGCGTTGTGCCTCTGCCTAGTTTCGCACACGAACTTACTGCCGCGCTGAAGCCCTTCCATCTCGCCAATGACTACCGCTTCTTTCATCAGTGAGCTTTGCTTCCCTTCCAACTTTTATCTTTTTTCTATTGTTACAGTGTCTGTCTGCCTTCACTAATATGAAATCCTTTTTTTTTTATTTAGAAAGGAGAAGGATGTGCTTTTGAAGGTAGACCGACAACGCACTGTACTGGTTCTGGAGGGTGCGATGAACGAGAATGGACCCTGGAAAGAACTCTCTTTCCACCATGTACCAAGCACCCCTGAAAAGATGCCTTCCATCATTCGTATGTCTTGTTTTTTGTTTACGAAATCCGCACCCTATCTGTCGAATTCTGTGTTCGAAAATCCTTAAATGCTTTGGTAAATCAGGTGTTATAGAAAGCAGTTGTTTACTAAATTCTTGGCTTTATTTTATGCCTTGAAAAAAATGTCGGAATCTAACGATTCTCATTTTTGACGAATGGTAAGCTCCATCACTTCTTTTTTGAAAAGCACTTCCTGACAACCTCTAAATACCTGTTTGTTACGGTTCAATCCACATCTCCTATTTTCTTGTACACAGTCAATTTGCAGATCGAGCCTGTGTTTTGCCTGCACAAAAAATGGGATAATTCATTCTCATGCACATATCATCACCTGTGATCAGTGTAGGTAATAGCCATTATCCTGATCGGATAAACTTTTTCCTTAAAGCTATTCTCGGTCAGTAAGAGAAGATAGGCTCAAATAAAGGTTGCAGTACCTATCAGTACTACCTTTTTTAGTGGTTTTATCTTTTGTGGCTTCTAGTGATGGGTTTAGGACCAACAAAGATGTATTTTAAATAAACGACCGAAAGTTTATTGAATGTAATCCAAGCTATGCCATAAAACATTGAAAGTTACGTACCGAATTTGATTGACGAATTGGCTTGTCCTTTTGGAACGGGCTTTGGATGCTTCGAACAGGTTAGAATTTTCTTGCTACATTGCCATCATTTTGTGTGCTGATCTAGATGGGGTAATATTCGCGTTGCCTTTCCTTCAGCCGGACATTTGCCTGTGGTCGACTTTGAGGCGGCATTGAGTGGCGAAAGGACCTTCGAGAACTCCCCAATTGTCGCAACCCTTGTCTATCGAATTCTTACCAAGGAGAAGGAGGGTAAGTTTTCATGTTGACTAAGGTAGTAAACATTTGTGTCGATAAACTGGTTCACCACTTTGTTTTGTGCTGTCAACACATTCTACCGCCTGTATGGCGCGATCTTTTGAAAATTGAAACAAACAGTTATTCCTTTGAGGCGTGACTGATGGATGCGGCGTTCCATGCGTGATTGGTGTTTATAAACGTTAAATTCGAATGCTGTGCTGACAGATTCATTCTTTAAGTATAATCACGGGATCTAACGGCCTTTTTGGATTTGTCTCATATTTTCAAGCGCATTAAATGTCTTCTTTTCAAACGCGTGAGAAGCTCCTTCTTATCCGGGGTGAGTTTTAAATCGTGTCTCCTCCACTTGCGTTACGTTGCGTTACGTTTTTGGTCGAATTGCATTTTTTTGACTACAGTGACATGCCACTCTTATGCTGAAATACTTAATCTTTTTCCTCAGTTCTTGCACTTCTCGAACTCTCGGGGTTTCCTATTGGCCCTAAATTCGTGCAAATCAGAAAATACACCTATGAAATAAGCCGCCCCCTTAACGGGTAAGTCCCACCTTGTTTTCTCGCTAGGAATTACTAAGTGCAATCTTTATTATTGCACAATAGCCTTTACCTTCACCTCACGTAATTACCAAAGCGAACATTGTCTGACCACATTAATATGTATCATGTTTTTGGGGATATTTGGCGATTTGTTCTGAAATCCCATGCACAAAAAAAGTACCATTTCAAGGCCTGCTGAACGCCATAGCGAATATATAGTTACTGTACCCATACAGTGGTAGTGGAGGGTGTTTGACTAGAAATGTGGGAAAAGTGCTTATGTTCGAACTTTAAAAGGATGTTTTCTTTTTCGTTTAATATCGGCGCATTCTGAGTCATTAGAATATTTTGTGCAGATTATGCGCTGTTTTTTGGTCTTCGAACTTTTTGCAGAAAATCTAGTCAGCATTTGCCGTGCGTCCACTGACAAGTTCTTTGCACTTCAGGCCACGGTGGTGGAAACGCAAGTTGCAGAACATCTACCTTCCACCTACTCAGGCCTCGACTCCACGTTTGACCCAGCTGATGACCAAGATTGGAATTGTTGGCAAACGGGTACGGATATCTTATATTTGGAGCTTGTCTCCTCTTGGTCAATGCAGTGTACGCATGAGGCACCCTTATTAAGAGCGCATCACGTTCTCACTTGTCTTCACAAAAGATATGGCTGACAGTCAAAGGACGCATGCGTTTGTTTATTTTGAACAGCACTGCGTAGGTGCTGTCATTCACACGAATGACTTCTCCATTAATTACACACGGGTTTGGGAGTTGGCCTTGAAATGCAGGCAGGTGTTTAAGGGGCCAATTGCGCTTGTGCGACGAAATTGACTGAGCTTCACGTATGTGAGGAACGAATCGCGGCAGACTGGATAGATATACTCAAAGTATCCATGATTTTGCCACAACTACGCTCAAACGTTCGCTCTGTTCTACAGCGAGGACGTCCGTTGGACGCCAACCTCGTATCATCACTGCTGGACAAGCTGCGAGCGATGGTGGGTCAACCGGCCAATCTGAACGGCTTCTACGTTGTCCTCGTGGTGGCTTTTTTGGTGAACAAAATTTTCTAGTCGCGCCCCTTCATCCTTTGTGTATCACTGACCGCCTTTTTCTACGCTTTCTGCTTGGATGGGGGTGTGATTGTGTCGGTTTAATTCTCTGATTGATGTGGTGTTGTACCAAATAAAATCTCTTGTTTCGAAGTCCCCTTTTTCGATCGCGGGAAATTCTCAAAAACTAGTGAATGTGATCTACATTTTTGTTTTCAAACGTCCATGCTCCATAAAGTGCTCACTGAGTATATCCTAAACAAACCGAGTTCTGGCGAAGACAGATTGGCGCCGACACGATTGGATTGCCTCGAGTCACTTGGATGCGGCGGGTGGGGTTTTCATTGCACATTTTGAAAGGTGTTGGATTTTTGTCTACAATTGTCTTCACGCCCATGCTTGCGCAGATTGTCATAGGTCATGACCAAGACTGCTGTCACGCTTGAGTGCTTGTTCTGCGTTTGTTGAGGTATTATTTGACCAGGATTGGGTCGACTTCTCTGCACATCATTGCACGGTTGGTAGATCTTATCAAACTATGTTTGTATCAAAGTCTTGTTAGAATGTGATGGCTGCTTTATGGTCGGTTCGGGTTATGGGGTGGTCGTATCTGATGGTCATGCATGCTTTATGTGTGCATTCATCAATGCATTTTATTGCAGTCAAAGTGAAGCACTTTTTTATTAAAGGGCATGTAAATGAAATCTGGAATGGTTTTGACGACAAAGCCCTTGTTCATCGATATCCTTGAATGTGTCACCATGGCTAGAGGCACTGAACACGTTTTGCTCAGTTTACGAGCGTGGAGAGGTGTACAGACATCCATTTTTCAAGAAGTTGGTGCGTAAACCATGATTAATGCGATTCATCATTGACAAGCCGGGCACAATAGAGAGAACTCGTGATACGTAAAACTGTGCTAATTGAGTAAAACTCGAAACCATGATTTTTTTGTTGAACCTGACGCAACTTCAACAGTATAACTTTCAACCTTGGTAATATTAATTGCATCACTGTACATCCATGCCTAAGTATTTGTAGCAAACCTACTCATAGGTTATTTAATGAGTTGTCAAAGTGAAGCATCATAAATTCTACCAAACCTTTAAATGCTGTTGGCGTGACCCAAATGATCTCGGTATTGGTTGGTGAAGCAGTTTCCTTTCCATTTAGTTGACAACGAAGATCAAATTCTCAACCTTTAATTGCTCTAACCGGGTGCCGGCATTAAGGGCTACTTGGAAGCACTTTAACTCATTCCATCTGAACTTTGTCGGAATTTTGATGAACTGAGGATATTGTTCCACAGTTTTTTGTTGTATAACGATGGAAGTTATACTAACTTTAAAAAATAGGAATGGAGTTTCTACAAGGGCTCAGTTTGAGTTCCCCCACTCCTGTTTTAGAATATTGGAAATAAAGGAATAGTTAACAGTAAAAAGTGGCAACTGATCAATCGACCTAACGTGCTCTTTGTCAAAAACGAATATACTTCTAATGGACAGCAAGAATAGTAAAATAATTTAGCATTTTAAAAACTCGTTTATTTGTGCCTGAAAAGTAGTCAGACTAATTGGTTTCGACGTTATTTGGTTTGATATTTACGTACGCACAAACGCTGGTCGGGTGTTGGCAGTAGTTGATGGCACTGAGTGCAGTAAGTTTAAGCTCATACACACCTAATAAATCCACGTTTCAGCTAAGACTTGGCACTCAGCAATATTTCTGTTGTTTGGTGCATACGTCACTCAAATATTGAGGTGCTCAGCCAAGCCATTACAACGCAAGATGAGCCATACTTGTTTGCGGACCATCAACATTTACGTCAGATATCAAAATGAGATCTGCAAACTCAAGATGATTTCTCAAAATGCCAAATCTCAGGAATCGATATCCACGCACATCCAGGCAATAAGCTTGTGGAACTCCCAAGCAAAAAACAGCAAACAAATGCCCACTGCAAAAGTATGATGTACAGATGACCAACTGCGGTAACAAATTAAACATAGAATCACTTCATAACTCAAATACAAGGCCACAGGCATGCACGCATCGGTAAAGATGAGGGCTGCTTACGAAGGCTCTCATGTAGCCTCTATACTATGTTTATGAAAATAACGTTCCTACTTGATGGCCATCTACAAAACCGATTCGTGAACTGGACAAAGTTTAATAACTTAATGAAAATAGATGACTATCGGGGAAGAGTATCGGATAATACACGACCCAAAGCGCTTCAACTTGCTAACAAGTTGAAAACTGGACTCCTATTTGAAGACATTTTTAGCCGACAAACTTTCGTTATACTGAAACCAAATTAGTAGAAAAGTCAAAGTGTCCACACAAAAGGTTCTCTTCACACCAGCAATAATAAAGGGTAGCAGTAATAGGATAATTCGTAATGTCATTTGGTATGCGATATGTACAACTGCCACGAATTTGAAAAGACAAAACCGAAGCTGTATTCACCGATAAATTGGACGATTGGACGCAGGGCGGACGATGACCCTATAAGGGAATACAGAAGCACTCAGCGTGGTTTTACGAGACATTACGAGCCTCAGACTCACAAAGAGGAAGTGATATACTTTGAGTGTGGAAACATCTGAGTACCCTATAATTACAAAACAGAGGAGATAATAACCACACAGTAAATCACGCACCCGAAAAGTCATCTCTTACTCGCCTCTGCAGATTTAATTACCCAAATAATTACATAGCTAATTCATAGATAAAAATCTAAATAACTGCACCATGTATGCCTATCACACGCAGTCCAAAACGAGTAATTCAAGTAAGCAAATAAATGCTGCAATTTCGCAGTTGATTTTTCATGAGTTACAAAAGTACCTGATCGCCTCAGCTTGGTATCTGTGCTACCGGGTACTTTACTACGCAGAATAGTTCATCTACCTAAAGACTAACTAGGTTAAACACGAATAACACTTGTGCGCGCGTCTAATCGAAGTGAACGAATATGAAAACGAGGAGTGTGAAGCTGGAACTGTAGTGCGAAATACGTGTTTGAAATCATCAAAATAAAAGCAAACATAAAATATAGGTGGTTACATACGTCGGCAGAGGAAGCAAAAAGATTTAGTAGCGTCAAGCATGAAAAATAAATTAGGAATTCAAGCATTAGCCCTCCAAAGTTAACAATTAGTTCTAATATTAGATGATCAAGAAGGTTGATATGCGATGGGGATAAGTACCGGCGTGGTAAAGCCTTCACCAACACAACTTTTCCTAGGGTGGATAACAAGGGTCTTTTCAAAAAAAATATACATAGATGGTAACTTAGTTACAAACAGCAAATAAATCAGACATCAAAATTGGTAAACCTTTCGATTTTCTTAGAGGACAAATCGGCATTCGATAAGCTTGTGGGATGGCCAAAGGCAGAATTTGGATAAAAAGTTGATGAGAGTAACTACTCTAAACAAGATGTATTTCAGCCATTTTGGAGGTCTAAACAGGAAAAAAATCCCTTCAAATGATAAATTTTGACTTGTTGTGACCCCTTCCCATATCCCACTCCTACGATGTGGTGAACAGTGAAGTGAAAAGGGGCTACAGACACAAAGAGGTGAAACGTATATCCCCCCCCTCTAAAACTCCGTACGTGCGTACAAGTGAGTGCGAACTCAATGAGGCTCGGCCTTAAGAGCACGTTTGCTAACCAACCTGCGAACCTTTGAAGTTGAGTTGGATCACCGGTAAAGAGGGGAAGGAGGAGAAAGGCGATGGAGTGGGAGTAAGCCAATTAGGATGGCAGCTAGACTGACTTCAGCTGCTTGACGCAACAGGACATAGGGTAAAAAACGAGATGAGGAGACTTATCAACTTTATTGGTGTTAAGATAGGCTTGCCCGAATTTTAATAAGGGCATTTGGATTGATAAAGAGTTAATTCGGCTTGGTGAAATAGACGTCGGCATTAGAGCCCAGCGCTTGAAAAAACTTATTCAAACAAAAGACCTGTTCTTAAACCTGTTCATAAAACAACAAAATTCTTGACAAACGACAAGCCATACCACTCAGATATGCTGAATTCCTAGCTAAAAATGATATTAATAAGTTCATTAACATTAGCCAATGCTGTCATACTTCATTCACGTGGTTGAGATCTATGAGGTGAGAATTTCGATGTCCAGAAAGATACTGGCCTAATATGAGCACGCGGCCGGAGATCAGTTGACAAGGGTGAGAAATGTCGCTTGAAAACTAGGCCCTGTGATGGGCTACGAATCATTGAGCACTACACACGTCCCAAGCCGATGGGAACCAATGCTTAAAGCATACTGGATTAATAGCTACTGCGTTTTAGTCTGATTGATCCTGAAAAGAACAGACGACGCTTGAGCTTTGTGAGAAAATTCGCATAAATTCGACTATATTTGGCTCAAGAGGCCTGATGTCAACGTGTGGGTACAGAGCCGTGGCACCAACTGTGACCATTACTAAAGTTGAGCTGACAAATATCAAGAACGTTCGGACTCGTGAGTGACAATCTAAGTGATTTCTGATAAAGGGCCAGCCAATACTTGACTGTGTTACTCAGTACATAAGTTAATGTTTCCCAGTCATTTCAATCTGGCCGCCGTGTTCCGAGACACTACAGACGGCTAAGATCCGTGTCTGAGCTAGAAGGCGGCTGGATTACAACAATTAACGAGAGTTGACAGGACTCCCAGTGCAATTATTTTCTGTTTCCACATATACTATTTACGAATGACTAAGAAGTCTACCGTAAAGATAACGCAATCAGTACAGGGTATATTGACAGTTTGATAATATGAATCATTGGCAGAAACTGACACGAGAATTCAGAATAGACTGGAGCAAGCAATTCGTACTATGAATTTAATAAATGACACACGAAAACGATTGAAACTGTAAAAGCTGATACAATTATATATCAAGTGAGTACTATCAAAATTTTACCTTAATTAAAAGAAATCCACCTGCAAGGGATCAAAACCCGATGCTTTTGACACGTTTAAGCCCGAGAGGTACACTTACAACTATTTAACCACCTTTTTGCTAAAATGTGGATGCGCATATCCAGATACAACGGGGCGAGTGAGAGAGAGAAACAACACAGAATCCATGTGCGCCGATTAAATGTTACTTCCTTTGTACGAGTGTGGTGCGGCATAGGCGCTTGCTGAACAATGAGAGCCCTCTCAATAGACATTCGGCACCACATATCTTTGTATTCTTTTGCGAACGCCAATTGTAGGTAAGCAGGGCCTAAGAGTACCCCCTTTGAAGTCTTGGACGAAGAGTGAGAAACGAGGACGAGCAGCAACAGAAACATTGAAAGGGAGCCTCTACAACAAATTTGCCGAAAATAGTTCCCAAGGGACATATTGTCCAAAAATGCTCCACCTTTTAAGTATTGGAGGGAAGTGTTTTGATAATGTCAAGCTTTTAAAAGAACATTAACCCAAATAATGAATGGAGCAGATTTAGTGATTTTTAACTGCAAAAGCAATTCGAATTTACGATAAAATAGGTGAAAAAAAACGAATTCGAAAAGTTGAATAACCCTCCTTTGGTGTAAAGAAGAGAATAAGAGAAAGTCGAATTAGGTAGAAACTAATGGAAGAGGGGAAATCACAAATACTCCACAACCACTTACGGTTGATTTGGAGGAGGAGGTGGATTGACAAACGCAGGAAATGAACCGAAAAGTGCGAGGGTGATGCCAATGGCGATGGTTGGCATTAGAGGGCCGTATGTTGGCGTCGCAACTGCAAAACTTGTTGCAAAAACTGCAAGGAGTAAGAAAGGAAGAGAATAACGAGAAAAAAGTAACTAGGACGTCCAGTTAAAAATAAGCATCTTGAAAAAAAGAAAGTCAGACAAAGCAGAGGTGAAGAACGTCATGGAGGTAGAAATTCAAAGACGACAGCCGTAAGTTGCTTTAGTGAAAGTGAATTGTAGCTTAGTGATTTTACACATTCTTTAAGAAGTAGAGTCTCACCTTTTAATGAGGAAGTTAAAAGATGAAATTAGGTGATTCAAAGAAATTTCGTAATCGAAAATGGTGTAACGAAAATGCAAAAGACAGATAAGCAAATCTGACCACACTATTTCTGCTTACAATCGCCTGACCCTACCAATATCTATGTTTCATAACATCGTTAAAGATGGGACGGACACCACACTATTCACGTAGGTAGGAAACTCGAAATGTGTGCAATTTATCTCGTGTGATTAACTTGTGACTGAAAAGGCAACGCGGAATGTCAGAAAAAGACCAAGAACTATAATCTAATGAGGCAAATAATCGAGTTTTTCAAAAACAGAACTTAAGTGTGTCTTTGAAACCTTGTAAAGTCTAGTTTTCACTCGCCCAAATTTAACTCGACAAGAAAAATCCGTTCTACAAGCTGACAATAATTACAATCTGGTTCCGTAATCAAATACTGATTTACGGACAGCTGCCAAAGATGAAATCGTTCACACAACCATCAATTGAAAGGGACAATCATGGAATAAGCATATAAAGAACTATTAAAACGCCAACGTGGTGAGTGGAAGACAAATTACAGAAATAATGCGATTTTAAACACGTTTTATTCAGTAATTATCCCAATTTTTGATCTACCCTTGCATAACTGCATGTTTTTACATTCGCAATACCTGTAAACACGAGATTTGTCAAGTAATCAAAGTGGTAATGCAGACGGCCCGAAACACTATCAAACAAAATTTGCAATGTGGACGTGATATATAAACGGAAAACGCATCGGTCGACGTCTAGCGCAAAAAATTATATTATTCCAGTCGATTTTAATCTTGAAAACGAGCTAGCAATGAACGAGCCCTAAAAAGAAGACATTAAGCGATGTAAAAACAAATTTTGGAATTCCAAAGAAATGTTATGCCAAATAGGGATGAGTCCTACCGTCAAAAATACAAACAGAGCGCCACTGAAATGGTAAAACGGTTGAGAGCTAAAGATTGCTAAATCGATGCTCGTATAAAATGAAATGTTTAGCCTTAAAAGTGATGCGCCAGAAAGGAACCCATATTAGGGAGTAATGAAATAGAAATACGCACGTAAATGATCATAGCAGAACCTCCAGTGACAATGGGCTGGGGCAGATCTCGAAGAGGACAATTCTCAACGCTGAGGATGGTCAGCAGTGGACACTGAGACAATTCGGCAGGAATGTTGTTCAGATTGTGGTTATCGTTCAGATAAAAGTCGCGGAGACTGGACATATTTCCTGCAAAGCAAACAAAAATAATCGATGTAAATCAACTCAAATAGACACCTTAATCCATGCAATGTGGGTTATTGCAAGAGCGGTACAAACCCTCTAGTGTTAATGTCATCAGTGATCCATAATGGGAATATTTGCCTGATAACTTCACTAGGATTGTGTATTTTTGACTACCAAACAGTCAGCCCCAATCTCCAGTAGTATCGGTGCAAAAAAGGACATGCTCCACAAGTCTTTCCATCAAACAAAATTTGTTATTATTTTCTGTTTTTGAAAACAAGAGTTTTAAGAAAATGAAGGAACTCTACGAAAAATCCAGCCCAGCTGGTTCCAGTTTTGTCTAAGCTAAGTTGACTGCTTTTATTGCATAGGAAATCACGCATGGTATGAAATTTATCAAAGGTATCAACAAAAAAGCACGACACGATTATTAATGTATGAAAAGAGGATTTTAAAAGTAACCAAGAGAATGAGAAACTAGCACATAATGATAATGTCAGTCGATTTTATTTACTGAATCCCATCCTTTAAAGTCTTGACTTCCCGTGGTACCAGAACACAGTTATACGGTCAAAGATAATTTCCTTCAAAGGACCATTAACTGATGCTACACAATCCATAGTTGGTAGTTATCATCCTCATGAGAAGCCGAACGCCGTTCCTATCCAGCCTACATTTCAAATCGCCTTTTGCGGAGGAAATCTGGAACCACAGAAAAACTTTTATGCTCGAATTTATAGAAGTTTCTGCCTTGTAACAAATTCTCAAGCATTCGAGAGATCGTGCTCCCCTCATTCCTACCTTATTAAATGATTATCACATTAGCTGCACCCTCAGAGAGCTAATAACAACTAAGTTCACGGTCAACTAGTCACCAAGTGTGCGAGGCTAAGACGGCTGACGGACCGCATCTCACAAGATTGGGGCCTATAAGAGCAATGTGAAATGTTAGGAATGCGGGGATTAAATAGAGTCTAAGCATTTATCTGAGCCTGATACCACTTCCACGTTATCAAGATTCCAATAAAGACGCAGCACATATTGCATCTGAGGTGGATTGCAGGCATCAAGGATTCATATTTTGAAAACAGTAGCACCTTTTTTGACACAAGAGCTTAAACATGCGGGAAATAGTTAAAATAAACCAACCCATGGGAAAAGTAATCAAGCATGACTACAAAAAGAGAGAGTATCAAAGGGATACCGAGTTTGGCAACATTAGTAAGTAAAGTCAAAGCAAATTAGCGCAAGCAATTTTATTAACTTTGGGCAGAATTTGAAATACCATTTGCAAAAACTATCTTTGCCGCCTATACCTTATCTGGCACAAAAAGTGCAACACAACATTTACAGTAGCTTAACTAGATTCTAAATGACATATTCCCGAGATTCTCATGCTTTCAAATTTTCCACAGCAGTAGCACATTTAAAAGGTTCAAATGAATCAAATACGAACTGTTAAAAACACGACTGCCACAATTACACTAGGCTTGGGTAGTTTAAAGCAGATGGAGTTATCAATGTAAAAAATAGCCTAACAGAATGTAGGTCATTACAGTGCTCAAAGGAAACAATTTCAGGAGAAAAACTGAAAAAAAAAAATAAAAATCAAACACAGAATACAATACTAGGTGCAATAAAAATTCATTCATTAGCCCTCTTACCACCACAGAGGTAACAGTTCCAAAGCAGTTTCAACGTTGAAAAATTAGCAGGATTCAGATGTTAGAAACGCACCTATTTCTGGAGGCAACTCAGTTATGTCATTTTCTCCAGCCTTGAAGATTTTTAAATCACGGAGATTACTGTAAAATAAACGAAAAAAACATCCTAAACGCATTCAGACTATTTGAAAAACAAGCGTTCCCCAGATAAAACTGTGGGCGACTTAAATAAATGCCACCAAAGTCACGCGACACTTCATTGAAACAAATATATAGTAGTATTTAGTCTATGCATGTTATATTAAACCGTATTTCAAGAATAAGGCACCAGGATAAATGGAGATGGTTTAACTTATTCAATGGTCAATGAGCTGTAACACTAGAAAGAAACAATATTTCCTATTGTTCTAAATAAACGTGAGATGTTCCAGGGGCAGAATTGAGCAAACTAGCCTTTACCATCAAATAGAATTCTAGGAAAAATTGACGTCTTTAACGGATTAAACGTTCCATAGGGTGTGGTCAGGTTTAAATCCTCACCCATTGAAAGATATTGCTTAAAATCTCCTCCACTTCGATTCTCTGGTATTTCTAGTCAAAAAATATCGCCAAATAAGTTGAGACGGATAATGACTGGAAAATCGGAGTTTATAAACCTACATCTGGCAAATCTGCACAAAAGATCAAAGAAAAATCAAGCTGAAAAAGACAGGTATTATTACTACGATATGATCGTGAGGACCAAAGTGCTAGCTCACCCGATGGAAGTCGGGAAGGTTGTGAGGTGATTACAAACAACGTTAAGGTCTTGCAGATTCACGAGCTCTCCGAGGGTGGACGGGAGAGATTCCAGCTGGTTCGACTCAAGATCCAACACTCGCAGTCGCTGCAACTTGCCCAGAGTGTTTGGAAGACGCTGAAAGGGGAGGGGGAGGTAGCACTTAGACAAATGCATGGGCACGCACCCAAACGAACACCCTGCACTGCTCGCATGCGTTCACAGCGAAATCGGCTGTCGTGAGGAAAAATAGACAAGACAGTAATTTGCTTTGTAAATAGGACCTTTTCGTAGATGAAGTGAAAAATACTAAGTGTACCTTAACAACGAAATGCTGGATAGTCGTTTCATTCAAAGTCTTAGGAACGAGCGGACTTCGAATTCTGATAAAATGAAATTGCGATCATATGCATGGCTTCGGACGATTGCTGACGATAGCTTAGAAGTGCTTTATATGAAGGTTGATTGAATTTCAATATGAATAGACTGCCAGCTCTCCAAAACTAGGAATTTCTGATGAATAAAAACATTACAAAACGGTACAACACACCCACGAAATTGATCAGCGATGATACAGGCAATTTAGGAAGAGATAACGTTCCAAGGACCCTCAAAATTGGCAAAAAAACATGTACTATCGTCTAAATTGTCATATTTGCATTTGCATTTTTTAAAACCATTCTTTTGTTAGACTGAAGATAAACCCAAGGGACTTTACAGGAATGTTCACTCATTAACCCATTTTTGTCTTCACCAAAGACCAAATTAACGGGCATTTAGCCCAAGAAATAAAATCTAGACAACAAAGCTATAATTGAAATTTCTAAGTGGAATTGACTCTGGAACAAATAGAAGTATGAAGAGGGTGACCATTAATCACAAAGGACAAAGGAGGATATCGAGTTTTCGGATAACAGATTACAATGTCACAAAAATATGCAGCTTTTAAGATCATTAACTGTTACATATTTGCTTATGGGGAACATCAAAAATAGTATTATCACCGAGCAAATAGCAGTAATGAATTAACTTCATCGATTTCAGAAACTCACTAAGGCATTGGTTTTCACTGTGCAATTCCCTACATTTCCCACACGCATGTCAACCTCACCTTGAGTTGATTGTAGCTTAATCGGAACATCTCCAGTGATTTCAGAGCCCCCAACTCGTCGGGTAGACTGAAGAGATGGTTAGAACCGAGATCTAGTTCAACGAGGTTGTCCCAGTGATGCAAATCTGAAAAAGGGTGGACGATTCTATAAAAAACCACTTCGTGAGACCGAATTTAAGCACTTATAGACAAAAAAGCCTACCCCCAGCGTGAAGATCTGCAATCTCGTTGTCACGAAGATTAAGCTTCGTCACCTGACCGAGATGTGAGAGCACGTCTGGAGGCACCTCAGTAATTCTGTTGTGGTCCATGTTCAAGGACTTGAAGCAGAAGGCGAGCCGATTGAGTAATGGATGTTTCGATATTCCATGTAGAGAGCAAAAAAAGAAATTCTCACCATAACGTGAGTGTACTGCTCGCGGTTACCGGGAGGAAAGGCGCTGAAAAAATTTCGCGAAAAAGTCACATTTCGAACCGACGACATGTTGGCCAGCAGGTGTGCCTAGACGTGGTTGGAAAGATGGGAGTTAAAGCGCGTACCTTCGAGCGAAGTGCCGGCCTTCCGGATAAGGCTCTCGATTCCAATTTCTAGGCTAATTTAGTAGAGCTTAAAAAATCGGCAAATACATGCGAATTCAAACCAACAATCCCTAAGTCAACTTAACTAGCACAGAGACACATCCCACTCAAATGCACAAGCTTATGAAGGTAATGCATTGCCACACTTTGAAAAAACACGGGAACAATTTGATTTTCAAATAAACTTGAGAGTCAATAATGATTGTACAAAGTTGACTAGGATTGAGCCACCCAATTATGGGAATAAAATCCAGGGCGAAGTTTCACTACTCAGATTGGACTTAGAACCAAAGAAATAATTCGGCAAAAGAATGCGCTAAAGAAGGAAACAATGCGGTCTACGGGATATTCGGCGTATAGAGAAATATGGAAACGATCACAGACCATTTTACCTTGCTGTAACCACTTTGCATTATTAAAAAATCCACTAAACTTAATACCCCCCATTGAATGAAAGAAAGGTTTTAATGCAGAAACTTCTAACGATAATTTGGGGCAGGATGGGCTCCTCCCACAAACAGGGACTAAAGTTAAACTAGGTGCATTTAAAAGACCTTCTGCAAAGACAAAAAAGGGCATTTGCGATGGCCTCGATACCAAAACAAACTCCACATATTTTAAGCAACTTTTAAAATTTGTAAAATCAACTTGACATTAAAAAAAAACAACAAGAACCAATTCCCAAACCCTTATGAAGGCCAAATTAACATCGCAAGGATTGGCCGACACCAAGGTCACGCCTACAAGAGGTTGGACCAATCGTGGTCACGAGTTGTTTAAATGCGCATAATTTGCTGTCTACTGCTTTGTTGTATGGTTTTGCGTGATACATGTGCCTGTTCCATGAGCGTCACGTATACACCGAAGAGGGGTGGGAAGAAAGTACGGAGTGGTCGAGGCACCAAATGGAGATCAACCTCAGCGCCTTGATGACCCAGTATATTGTAAATGAAGTCGCTAATCTACAATTTTGCTATGTGATTGAAAAAATCCTCAAAGTGGAGGCTCATCGAGGGTATACAAGGCACGTGCTGGATACCGAGTGCGTTGGTTCGGATTATTAAAATACGGTAAATAGTTACCGGATCGAAAGAAATGAAAAACTGTCATCCAAGTAGTCGTTTATACTGTATTGCAATCAAATAAAGGTAGATTAATATTTATATATCAAGTTAAAGACGTCAACATTCCAGCAACAAAACACCACAGACGGACAATTAACGAAAAAGTGGATTTCTTAGTAGTCCCTTGGAACAATTGGGATAAGTTGCCACTGATTAGAGGAAGCGACTGAATTCCCTCTTTCTGCTTTTGAATGATTAAAAATGCCTCAGACGGAGCTAGTGCATAGTTGACTGTCCATAAATGCGGGAATGTAACTGACTCGTCGGATTGTGAATATCGGACACCATAATAAGTCATACCTGAAGAGACTGGAGACTTTTTTGCATCGTAAAGTACCACCTTTTAAAAATTGATATAATATGGGAAGCCAGTTTATCTTTCGCAGTTATTAATGCCCAAAAAGCAATTGCGGTCTCAGCTGTTCTAAAATAAGATTGTTTAACCACATTTGGCTTCCAGTGCCAAAATATAGCACATTGTTATACTACTATAAACTAGCTTAAGACGCTAGAATAGTCCCGGAACAAATTGACAGATACCCCGACACTTAAGTTATGCAAGCAAGAAGGTTTCTACTTCGGATACATCATTGACTGGTTTTTCAACAACTCATAAAATTTCTGTTAATTTGTTGGTACTAAAATTACGAATGCTACCACCGACTTTTTTGCAATCTGTAAAGTTGGCATGACAAGCCGAAAAATTTCGAAGTCCAAACAGGTGAATAATCAGCTAATTCAAATTAATCACCTCCTTCACTGGGCAAAAGATGAGGCACCCTTCACTCTTATGAAAGGTTCTGGAAGTGAGTTAATTGGTTTAGTAGTGTGCCATATTACAGAACCAAATCGTTCTGAGGCAGTTAAATAAACACTATTGAACTGTCTTGGGAAGTTTCGGGTCGAACAAACTCTTCCATACATTTTCTTCGTACTAACATGCAAAACAAAATACCGTACGTAATTGGACCAATTAAGATTTAATTACAAATTAATGGGATTAACGATTAAGTAATCGGACAGCATTGACACTCCTTTACTTTAAGAACATTTGGCAATTTAGTGCGCATCAATTACAGTAGAGGAGCGATAAACTATACATTATACTCTCATGGGACCCAGCTCAAGGAACAGCTTTCATTAATCATTTTGAAAAATTATCAACCAAGTTTTCTTGATTAAGATAGGCGGATCTCAGCATCATGATGAAAAAATGTACAAGTTAATGATAGACAATCAAAAATCGTGACTTCGTCGTTGGACTGGGAAGGCATATGAACCTTACATGATCATTTTAAACCAGGCATAGCAAATTACCTACCGGAAGGGTGGAGAGTTGGTTGTTTTCGACATTGAACTCGTCCAGACGCGTACACTTTGCTAAGGACTCCGGAATTTCCACTAGGCGGTTATACCTGAGAAGATATTGCTTCAAACATTCAGAACCAAATCACCCCTACATTTAACCTCTGACAACAAATTATTAAAACACGATTTTATCTTCATTATGTCTTCCTAAAACTTCTACCGCAATTGACGCAGAAATCAGCGTTCATCTAAATCGAGAAAAGGTTTGTTAAGTTATTATTTTATTTACCGGCATTCCACATACAACTTTACACTTTCAAAACCTGACTGTAATTTCGGCATAATAGAAGCTGCTTGACATGACAAATTTTTAACAATATTCGATAACCCTTCAGCAACTTCATAAATTTCCGGCTTAAATTTAAACTTAAATTAAAAGGTTAAAGCGTGAACTATCGCGCAGACTAAGCAAATTTTGACGAAGAGTGATGTGCTTACTTGAGCATTAGCCTATTTAGACTGGTGAGGTTGCCAATGGATTCGGGGAGGTGGGTCAGCTGATTGTAGTGAAGATAGAGGTCTGTCAGCTGTGTGCACTGGCCGAGGCCTAGCGGAGGGGTTGCAAGAAAAGTGAAGACTCACTGCTACTTCCCCAAATGTCCCAGTATCACTTGTTAGGTTAATCATTTCACTACTTAATCAGTCGATCTAGTCGGAGTACTGAAATCGACAGAGGAGTCGGAGTCACAGTTTCACTGCAGTATACTCAAATGAAGCGCAATGTAATTATTTTCCAAGACCTAGTAGAGTCACCCGCCATAAACAAGAACCACTACCCTGAAACACTTATAGTCATATCATAGGGACAATGTAAAAAGCATTAAAAATTATCTAACAGCAAATAAACGATGCAAGAGCTACCATGATCTTTGAAAATCGTATTCAATCCCAAAGAATGTCTATGTCAAACAAAATTCGTTAAACTACGCAAATTGGGTCATGTCATTGGAGTCCTTCATCCCTTACCGAGAGACGAATACGACAATTTCTCAAAATCAAGTTGTTAAATAATCAGGAAATAAAAGCTCAAGTTTTTTAAAAAGATTAAGAATTAAAAAAGGGAAACTTACTTGCAGGCAGAGTTTGGATGTGATTGTACGAGAGATCGAGTTTAGTCAGGAAGGCCAGTTGACCGATCGTGTTGGGGACGCTTTGTCGAATAGAGTTCCGGTTGACAATGAGGATTGTGAGACGCTAGAAAAGGAACAAAGCGACGGGTGGGAAGAGAAAAGATAAATTATATCTGCTTTCCTAGGGGAAGAAATATTCTCCTTTACGAAAGCATAGTTTGGAGGTCCGTGAGTTACCTCCAGCACAGTCTCTGCGAGGACACATGATACAAGCCACCCGGTGGTTGTTTTTAACAGTAGACTTCATTTTCTTTGATAATAAAAAACCCTCACTTTCGACCATTCCATCCTTTCAGGAGATGGATCGTAAGCGCAACTGGCGAATTAATCAACTCGATGATAGCAAACTTCGCATTTGACCTACGTGAAGGGGAGCTGGATTTTAACCGAAGGCAAGGTACTGGGATTTATCAGAAATCGTGGCATTGATTTCGATGTCGTAAAATTGGATAGGAGTAAATGACCAAATAAAGAGTTTGGGTTTAAACTCTTGAGAACTGACGAGGACCAAAAGAGCAACACCGCCTATTCTCGTTACTGGCTCAAGCCATTCAGCAGCTGTTTGTGAGTAAATTAGCCCTTAAACAATTGGGACTTGACAAGAATTCACATGCTTCTAGCAATTGACAAGTTTTTAACAATAGAAAAAAGCTACTAATAGATATCCGAAAATAACTTGTCACGCCTTCAATTCATGACCCACTACTAGGAGTAATGCGAGAACACCTAAATTCGCATTCTTATTCCGAATTCGATTTCACTATAAACAAACTTCCCATACATTAGTACGTACGTTATCGATTACAGGAATGATGAACAAAATAAAAAAACCCGTGAAAAACATTCGAACCCTTCATGTCATCCAAAACAGTCTTAATCAAAATTTGGAATGATTTCCTACAAACTGAATTTAAATCAAATTCAATGGGTAGGCAGCTCTAAGGCATGGAGTTTAATAGTATGTACGAACTCTTCTCAGACGAGTTAATGAAAAAAAGGTGTCAAATCTCTGCATCAAAAGCATAAAAAGCATCCTGATTCAGGAGCAAATTAAAATCAGCGATCAAGCACTTCAATCACCGGTGTACGTCAGCTTTCCTGAAATTTACTTACATACGCGTAACTCCCACAGACTTGATGGAGTTTTTTTCTATGTGCGAGGTTTTCAAACCCCATACAAAGATAAAAAAGAACAAGCAGAGACAATATCTACTCAGAGGTGTACTACGGAAAACAACTTAATACCTGGAGATTTTTAATTTCGTCGCAAAGGGTTCCGACCTTATTGTAGCTGAGGATAAGCTGCTTCAGTCCACGAAGGCCGTATATACAGGAAGGCAAGTCGCCTTCGAGACGGTTATGCCGAAGGTCCAACACCTCCAGAGAGGTTAGCTTGGCTAGATCAGGTGGTAGCCCAGCGCAAACGATAACATTCTGCTGGAGCAACAATCGACGTAGATTTGGCAGCCCCGTGAGTTGACCTGCTGGTAGACCAGTAAGTTTGTTGCCATTCAGAAAGAGGGTCTCCACATGAGGAAGGTCCTTGAATATACCTGTGGGTAAGCACTGCAACCCGAAATCGGAAAACTCCAGATAACTGGAGTCCTCATCTTTGCAACGCGTCAGTTCTGCTGTCACGTCCTGAAACGGTGTGTAAAAGATAGAAGATTTAAAAACGGAAAAGTTCAAAATTCCACTCATAAGGAGGATTAAATTAATACTAGACCTCCTCAAAATAAAGCAAAGGAAGTGTGTGATTCAGCCACCATATCCCACGCTTCTAAAATTGGTTATGGTAGGAGTTGTTACGCTGGCTAAGGTTACTTTTGCCCAAAAAACAAATTAACACCTGGATCACCCGAAATATTCATAGGTAAACTGTAAAAGGCGTGCGTGGGAATGAGCCCGGTGACAATGGCAAAATAGCTTCGGTGATTCTGCTGATAATAGTGAATTTACAAACATTGGGTCAATATTAATTATGTCTTAATTTATGGGTAAATCGTACAACTTATAGGTATCGCACAACTTAGAATTCCAGTAAATTTGGACCCAGTTCGTAATGGTAACCCGAGAACAAAATCAGAAGTTCCAAACGAGAAAATGATGACAGTTCTACATTTATCAATTAAATCGATAGAATCCGAATAAGGACCACCAATTTACACGAAGAGGAAATGCTGAATTGATTCGATGACAATGTTACATGATGATAAATTGCTAACGACAATGGGGGTCTTAACGGCACTCAACATTTTAAAGTATGCATAGCATCTGAAAAGAAGTCTTGTTTCTAGCAAGATGAATGTTGGCAACTGGTAGGCAAAAAATTAGCGCATAAAACTGACGAACCGGCTGTTTTTCCTTTTTCAAATAGGACTTAGCGGCTGATTTAAACCGCCTGCCCTCAAACTGCATCTGAACTGACTTCTTATGACCATCAGACAACCGAAATCCGGCAGCACGACCAGGAAAACGGATGGGTTTTGCGATGCTAAGGACAGATATGTCACCATTATCACCTAAGTAGTGCTCCTCCCTCCTGTAAACATTATCTGCTATTTCGACTGTGGATGCGTACGGAGAGCACTCCTGGGTCGAAGATTTCGGTGAATTATGCTCTGAAGAAGTCCCTCCGGCTACATCAGCTGAGCAGTCAAAGTCTTCTACATGCTCCTCCTCTGAGTCCCCAAGAGGCTCGGTAGTTAGCGGATCCATCTGCCTTCTAGGGGGTTTAAAGCGAACACCAACAAAGCACCCTAAAACAAAGACGATAAGCATAAGCGACAACACTGTGATTGGCCAGTTATTTTCTACTATTGAGGATTCAGAAAAATTAAGGGTAATCCCAGTATTTAGGGCCTTACACAGTTTCAATGATGGCTGCGGTTAGTGTCATTCCTCAAAATATGTCTTCTAAGTCGGCCGAAGAAGCATGGGGCTAGTCCACCGCTGTAGACTTTCCACAGACTCAAGACATATTTTATTTAAATAATTTAGTGCTTGACCATGATGATACTAGGAGCAGAATTCCATTAGTGTAAAGCCTTTATGAACCCGATTTGTTTGCTGTTAAAATGCATCTATGTTATCACTTCCTTTATTTTACTGAAGCATGGACACTTTTTCATTCTACATTGCAATCACTTAAATTATGCGGTCGACAAAGTTTTTTGCTATAATTAGTAAATTGAGGTAATTTTAGCCTAGAAAACGGTACGACCTGGTTGCATTACATACAATACTTGATGTTGCTGACCTTCTAAAGAGCAAGTGTAGATCCAAGTTAATCTGGACCTCTGGCGCCTTAGGATTTTCTTAGAGGCCAGCAAGGACAGTATCGCTAGGGACTAAGCCGAATCGATAACGTAGAAAATAGCGGAGAGCTCTTCTAACATGGCCCGGGGGCTATTTCACCCAGCTAAATGGCAAAAATTGGGGCTCAAGGGCCTGAAAAACTAAAGCAAAAAGTTCAGAAATAATTTAAAGTGCTGAAAGGGCTTCTTATAGAGTCGAGATATGTGCTGAGAAATATGAAGAAGCATGTCACTTTAGTTACTTTCCACAAATTTATAGCAGCAGATGATGGGAGTTAAGGCACCAAAGCGTCATAAATTAGGTAGGTTATAGAAAATCAAATATTTCTGCTGGATTCTCTACACCTTGCAGCATAGATATCTGAGTAACTAAAACGCAACCTTTAGTTGTTTTACTCCCTTCGTTACTTCCATACATCTTTCTGTTATTGGGAATGAGTAAATGCCGCGTAGATGGACTTGACCGAATTGTCGATAGTTACGAAAATTAATGAAGACTTCCTTAATTCTCAAATAACTGAAACAGATCTTTTCTACTTGGAGGTAGATTGCGAACCGTCACTTGCACGATAATAGGATGAAGAACTTGCAAGGGAACTAGTTGAACTGGGGTATCGGGGTACTAGTGAAATTATAAAACGTGAAGAATTCATAAAAAAGAAAGACGAGCTTGCCGCCTTAGCAGAGAAGAGAAAAGTGGCAAAAAAGTAATTGGCTGTATTTTGTGGCTCTTTCTAATAACAGCCGATATTTAATACACACTACAAACTTCTTAGCTCTACCTTTTAGCAATATCAATAAACCAGCATGTTTTTTCCCGCAAGCTATTTTTCAGTATAATCGCGAATTTTACAGTTTTATTTAGGGCAATTAGCGGGTTTTCTTAAAATCATCTAGTTCTAATTTGATTACGCATTTATTTTACGTGCAAGCCCCTTCAATTTCTAGTTTGCTAAACCAATCTACCATTCTTGATGTTTAAGAGCCCTAGACCATGAAGGAATTATTATCACAGAACCTGGTTTGATTGCTTTGGCTGCTAGAGAGGAGTCAAATAGACGAGGGAACTTATCAGTATGTGAATTCTTTATGCCTTTTTTTACCAAAGACGATTATATTTATTCGTCACACAAACGCGAAAGGCCAGGAAATTTCAGGTTATGTGGACTATGCGCATCGTTTGAAAAGTGAGGATTTTGTCCCTTACTTTTCTGGTAAAAAGAAGCTTTTGCCACGTGTGGGAGATTTAAGGTAAGTGATGGAATGTATGTAAAAATTACGCCCACTCATCCAGCTTTTACAATTGGGAATCTCAACATGTATCATCCACTTCGACACCAAATTATATTGTCATTGCAGACAACCCAAGTGGTTTACTTTTCAAAAATAAAAGGGATAGAAAACTTATTATTATTGACCCCTGGGTGAGTAATCTCTAAGGCATGAGTTTGTAAGTGCATTTGCTTCTTGAATCGGTTTGTAAATCTTAGTTTAATGCCCAATAATAGAGGACCTGCTTACCCTTATTGTTTGCATTTTATTTGATGGCAAACCCTTTCTAAGTGGTCGCTTTTTATACAGCGAAGAAAGAAATAGCTAAGATATACATTTATTTTAACTCAGATTCGCTTATAGTGACTAAATTGACCCATAAAATTTTTATTTTGCATACATTTTCTGCAATTTCAGTCTCAAACTGCTGGTGATAATACAACACGAATGACAGTTTACACAACGGAATACAAGCAGTTTATATTATATGATCATATTACAAGGCGAAAAACATAAACTAATGAACTTCGCTCACCGCATCATAATACAGTATACCACTGTTCACAAACATTGCTACTTGTGAATTGCAAGTAACACTTGTGTAATTTTTAATAGCATAAAAGTCAAGGTGAAAGTTTTGTTTTCCTTAAAGATAATGTGCAATAGTTGGCAATTTTTCAATTTCATAATCGTGAATTCTTCGTTGTTAGATCTCATACATGCAAAGTGTGCCATATATTTAGATGAAAAATGGTATTACAGGTGAGGCCTACAATAGGTACCAGAAATACCACACCTAAAACCCATCTGTTTTTATGTGTTTAATCCCATTAATATAAAAAAGATTCATAAAAGAAAGACATTGATAACTTGAAAGTGATTTATTCACCTTGAAAAGGTCCAGTGCGATGTTCACATTCAAGAATTAGTATCATGTTTTTTTGGAGAATCATTTCCAAATATGAATTTAAAACAAACGAATTAGCAAATAATTAGATCAAGCTAGCATAATAAAGCGTTTTACATCTAGGCTTTAATTGTATTTCATAAAATTCAGTTACGGCATCTATGGATAACTCATAAAAGCTCCGCTGTTGGTTAAAAGGAAAGGAAACTTCCTTTACTTCACCATAGGAAATCATTAGCTGTGGCAAACAAGTATTTTCTAGAAGAACTTCAATTTACCGTAGGTGTTTAGAATTTTGCCTGATTCAGTCCAGAATCCGTGCACATAGTTTTATTAAGAAAACTTTCGTCTCACACTCAAGGAGTAAACAATAACTGTCCAGTTTCCACTTCAACTAACCCACTTAATATTTTTGCAAACAAATAACTTTTGTGGTTGCCTACTGGTCTTTAAAGTGATGCCGTAGCAACAATAGATTTTTGAATGACCGTCGTAAAGTATAATCATCGGGATTTTTAATTACTCAACGGTTAGAGTCAAATATATGTGCAAGGCGTTCCGCCTTTGCATATATTTCATAATACCGCGATTATAATGTAGCTGTCCTTATTGTACAATTCTGGCGTGTTACGAACCATAACTCTTCGTACCAAAGTAGAATGAAGATAGAAGAATCCAACAGAGGTAACTTTTGTGACCACAATAACATATTCTTTCTTGAACAAGATGAATGACGTTTTGCAGTCCCCCTTATGTGCAATCGCTCTGATATTTAGGGAAAAAAAATGGGCCAAACTTTTTGTAATAAAGATATTTTCGGTCATTTGCATAAGAAGGTTCATTGATTCTTTCCATTCTCATATTGTAAGTACATCTAGTTATGGAACAGGTCTAAATCACAGTATAAAAGAAAGCAACCTCCTACAAAGAACATATTTCAGCGCGTCAGTTTGAATTCGCAGTAGAATTTTATAATTCAAACTTAAATGTCTCCAATTCAATGAAGGCCACAAATCGGCAGCGGCAAGATTTGGTAAGTCACTGCTGTCTTGACATAGAGATATTGGCTCGGGTTATTGTTTCACCCATGGTAAGGTGAACATCAATTTTCACTGTCTTATACAAAATATTCTTGCCTAACACATCACACATGTGCATGCCCGTTTCTGGAATTTAACAACGTTCCAGCTATAAAGCTAGAGAATCTCGCTTCGAATTAAGCGTTGAGCCTTTCACTGACACTAGACGATTGAGTTAAAACGAATCCAAGCATATACTACCTAGCACAACATGGTCCACTAATAAGGAGTAACTACACTTACACAAATGCAAAAGATAAGTCCTTTACAAATATTTAACGGGAGTTGTGGGACGCCTGTCAGTAAATTTTGCTAAGGTGTTTTGAGATTGAGCATAGGCCGCCAGCAA